ATAGTATTCTCTTTCAATTGGGTGAAAATAATCCTTCTTCTTCTTCTTCGCATTTCAAGCTTAATGCTTATTGCATTTTAGCTTAATGCGTGCTCTCAACTTACTGTTCTAGATGCACTTCCCCAGTTATTAATTGAGAGCTTTCGATGCCTGTACCATGTTTGCATTAGTATAATTGTGTGGCAAGTACAATCGTACTCTATGCCCAGGGAAGTCGAACAATTTTCCAACCCGAAAAATTCCTAGACCGGACCGGGAATCGAACCCAGCCACCTCCAGCATGGTCTTGCTTTGTAGCTGCGCCTTTACCGACTGAGCTAAGGGAGGTGGAAATAATCCACAGTTCCTTTAATCGTATGCTCAAGGAGCGAACTTTTGATCTGACGCTGCCGATGAGCTTCAGCACAGATTCCTTGGCGATAATTTTGGCTACTTTTGTCCAGTCTTTTTCAATATCTTCGATAGAATTTGCTGCCTTAAAGTGTTTCCGTAGATATCCCTTGGAAAGGGCCCAAAAAGTTACGATTGACCGGGCCTCCGGATAATTCGGAGGATTCATCTCTTTTGGCACGTATTGCACTTTGATTGCTTTGTACATTGACACCAAATCGGACCAAAATAGTACTGGGCCATCATCATCGTCTCCTTCGTCAGAAATGGCTTTGACAACATGCCGTACTCACACATCGCTTTCCAAATCAAAAACGGTAAAAATTGACTTATTGGCATCGTCAACTTCCTGACTATCATGGACTGCATAATATTGGTCTCCCGGAAGTGTCTTGTAGTCAAAGTTGACGTATCATCGTCCATAATAATACACGCCAATTTTCCTTGGCACGTTGGACGTTAATCTTCGATGTTCTCAGTTTTTTGGCCAAATCTCGAACAGACGCACGAAAGCTTGATCATCTTCTGGTTCACTTTTCGGTCCACCGGTCTCAGCTTACGGCCAGATTTCGATGTGTCCTCTATGGTAACTTCTTCACCGAACTTCCGGATGGCGGTATGGACTGCTTCGATACTCACTTCCTCAATTTTCGCCAACTTCCTTACTGGTAGGTTGGAAATAGTGCACCATTTGTGCACGAACTATTTGCGCTTTTCCGGGGAAATGCCTAGCATTTTTATGATTTTGTAAAAAAATGAACTTTGTGCACACAAATTAGTTGAACAATAAGTTATCAACAACACACATCGATGAACAGCTGATAAATTTCACCGGGGTAGAAATGGCGGCGAGTTGAAAGTTTGCTTATACTTTCTGGGACACCCTATATAAAACAGATTCTTAAGCCTAACACGGGAGATATTAAAATCAAAGCAGGGTAAATGATGGCTTCGGTACCCATTGACTGTTTTCTCACCAAAATACTTCGCGGAATGTATTCAAACGATTCCTTAGTCTTTTAGCTTTAACCTGATTACAGCTAGTTAACACGCAATTCAGATGGAAAGATTGCCGACAATAGTCACACTCAGCTGAGAAGTTTGGAGCGTTGTAAAAACGTTTTCAAACCGTTTTCGACTATTCTTTCCATTGGAATGGATGGAATAGCTAGCAGGAGATAAATGTAAACAAACAAACACATATGTATGACGCTAGTTAACGGCTCATTAGCACCGAAGTTTGTGCGAGAAGCCGGGATGTTAAAAACATAATAAGAACGTAAATTTACTCGTTTGATATTGACATTCAACTGCGGTAGAAGTGAGCAGCAATCAATGTCCGATTGTAAGAGATCAGCGATGAAGGCAGCCTTATAGATGCCACGGTGAACGCTAAGTAATTGTAGGGACATCAAATTACAGCGACTTTTATAACTAAGGAGATTGAATAGATCTTTCCAGGGTAGCCAACGAAGAGCGAAACGTACAAATCTTCGCTGAATGGCTTCGATAAGATTCACACCGTTGCTGTAAACTGGAGCCCATACTACGGAACAGTACTCTAATGTGGAGCGGACTAGCGAACAATAGATTGTTTTTTAAACAAAAAATGCTCCTAAAGTTTTCGACGAAACGAAATATGAAACCAAGTTGAGAAGAGGCCTTAGCGGAAATATAAGTCACATGGTCCTTGAAGGTGAGTTGTGAATCAAGACTGGCGGCTAAGTCTTTTGTGGTAGACTCACAACTTAATGTTTGCTCCTATTGACTAGAGAACGTTATAATGACACATTTAGAAGCATTTAATACCATCCTGTTTTTGTCACACCAAAAAGCAAAAACGTCCAACGTATCATTTCGATCTGAAATCGTCAGCATAAGACAGCTTCAGGCAACGGATAGAAAAGTGAACGTCTTTCAGATACAAACAAACAATATGAACGGTCCCAGATGACTGCCTTGAGGTACACCAAAAGAAACAGCGAACGGTTGAGAAATATGATTTACTCTCTTCACTGACATATGTCAACCGATGAGGTATGAGCGAAGCCAATCAAATAGGGAACCGTGAAAGCCAAGTGGCTCTAGTTTGGCCACTGCAATATCGTGATTAATTTTATCAATGCCACGGTAGTTGGACTGCTTATTGCCTTTTTTGAAGACAGGGAAAGCAAAAGTATCCTTCTAGTAGTCGGGAAAGTTACCAGAATCCAAAAAGAGGTTTAAGATGGATGCTAAATGTGCGGGCAGGACTCCAATCTAGATCTTAATAACCGCAGAAGGGATTCCGTTAGAGTCAACGCTGAAAGAATTTTTCAAACGAAGGCCTGCTATATGAACATTATTACTCGAGATAGGCGGATGAGCTTCAGCAGCAGAATGTACGGGACCTTGCTTACGGAGGCTATGATATGCTTGTTAGGTAAATATTCTATGACGACTACACTGCTGAATTCTGCTATGCTTGACAAAGCTGTACTGTTTGTTCCCAGGGACCAGAAGGTCCCGAAGAAACGTGCTCAGCTTTTTGGCTCAGCAGTGTAGTACTATAATTAAGAATAGAATGGGGTACGTTAATCGATGTACTTTGTACCGATAGGCTAGTCAAGTGTGAGCCAATTTAAAATCGTTAGTTTCCACCGGTTAGTTATACTTGCTCTTCGACACCTCCGTTCGATGTTTACAAAATTTTTTAGAGGCAGCTCGTTAGGATGACTTCAGATGCTTGAGCCGGGGGTCGTTGAAAGTAAAAGTAATTCTTTTAAGACTAAAAGACTTTTTGTAGCGATCCTAAGAAAAAAAATTACAAATTTTTCAGGAAATCATCCAAATTCAAACATTGAACAATTTTTATGATTCCGTGCAGAGAAATTTAAGATGCAACTGAATTCCGGGCATACATTTCTCCAAAGAGAAAGAAATGTCTACATATACCTTATATGGAGAAATTTATTTTTCTTCGATGAAATGTATGTCCGGAATTCTGCTGTAGAATTAGCAAGAATTAAATAAATAAATATTCTGAGACTTGGAACAAATTTCAAGATCCAAGGTTTTTTAAACTGTTTAAGAATTCAAGATTATTAGATTATTTCAGAAAAGAGTAACAGTAAGATATGTGAGATCTCAAACTTGGCAAAAATCCTAAATGGACGTGCATTGAATATCCCAGAAATGATTTTTTTTTCTAAAAACATGAAAAGTTTTCACATTTTATTTGATCGACAATTATCTAGTATTTGCCTTCTCATTTGATGTGTTACATAATGGGTTTTGACACATCTAAATCTCAATCCTAGAAATCGTTTTTGTCACTTCAAGACCGTTCAAAAGTGAGGAGTCGTTTTAGTTCGGTCGAGATAGCTTAAAAGATGTGCAATATTTGTACGCTTCTAAAATCGTCGCGTCAGTCGTAGTTTACTTAGTGAACGATTATTCGAAAATCTGTCTGTCGGATTTGATGGTGGAAACTAGTACTCTATTGAGAGCTTTCGAAGCCTGTACCATTTTTGCATTAGTATAATTGTGTAACAAGTACAATCATACTCTATGCCCAGGGAAGACGAGAAATTTTTGGTCTTGATTTATAGCTGCACCTTTTTCGACTGAGCTAAGGAAGCCCCAGCCGTGAATCAAGCTTAAGTCAAATATTAAAAATGTGTTGTATTTATAATTCAATTCGACAATTCAATGACAGTACACGGGTACCACAAGGAATTCAAAGTTGAATTTTTAAACTTTAAATTTCAATAAAATACCCAAATTTCGTTTTGAGACTTACCCAATGTCGAAATTATGTATGGTCCTGAGGTGTAAACAAATAAATGAAATAAAATAAAGAGTCGTGAATCACAAATCATGTTGAAATTATACATCCTTTTCGTTGTTTTAGCATACAACGTTTCTGAGATAAAGATTTCAGTAGAAGTCTCAAGATATCGTCTGAAACTTTGATGTCATAGATCCAACTATCGCAGCACATCGTTCAAGGCCGATGGAGTTTTAAATGCTAATCAATCAGTAAACTACATAGCTATCCCCATTTCAGAGGAAATCCTGAGCAAGAAAGGACTGGTTGACCAAAATAAACACTCAAATGAAGATTTTTACATAAATAAACAAACCCATACAAATCGCAAATCCCACCTCAACGAATCTGATAGCACTGAATCCCGTCGTCAACATGCACCGTTCTCTTTCTTGCCTTCGCTGCTGCAGCCGCCTGGTGCCTTATGTCGCGAGAACAACCGACTATCAACATTGGATCGAGCGAGAACGACAACGGTGGCACAGGCAGAGCACGGGCGGACGGACGACGGGGTATTTAAACACATCAGTGAGTTAGTAAATGAATGCCTGCTTTAGGACCCTCCTCGATGTAGCTTCTTGCTTGCGTTGTGTAACATGATCGAATGGGTCGCGACACACAAACACACCGCCGAAGAACACCCATACAACTGCTCCCACTGTTCGTTGTTTGCTAGTTTTTTCCACAACTTTACTGATAAGGGGGTGTAAAACAGAATGCCCTCTACAGAAGAAGTGCTTCCATGATGGTTCTGTTTTACTTTTGAGATGATAATTTTAAGATGCAATGTTGGTTCTCTCACCTGTGGAAATGCGGCTCCAATGCTGCCGAGGTGGCTATTCCACCGGACACAGAATTGCTGGGTCTGCCCGGAACTCATCGTCGTGTGTGGAGTTTTTCCTTAAACCTAATCTTTTGCTTTCCAAAAGCGAGCTACCTTGAGCTACTTGAGACTCTTGAAGGACACCTTTGACTTCGACTCGGTGTGTTGTATATCTTTGCTCACTCACATTGACACTAGAAGAGGTAGAGACGGAACACACAGAAGCGCACGGGTTCGGATTAGTCACGAGGGCTCTTCTCCACTGCTTGTGGTCAACGAGTTAAAAACGAACGAACAAAAAAATCGATATTTCCAACCCCTTGCTGCTCGTTTCCAATCCCTTCCGATCTATAGGAGCTTTTTAAAGGGTGTGGGACGAATGGACCTTATGTTCTTCCCCTTGGTCTCGTTGTTGTTTGAAGCACCCACCACACACTTTCATCCGATGTATGTTCCTCGCGCACGACGATACCGACCGACGTCGGTCGCTTCGCTTCTATACTCGGTATGAGGTCAAACGAACACCCGAAAGTTCAAAGATCCCTTGGCACATCGCCCTCTCCCGTACACCGTAGAGGCAGCGATTGCGAAACGAGCACACGAAATTATCGATTTTTGTGCGCTTCCATTTTCTTCTCCCTCAAAACAACTCACTTCGCCTGGCCTGGACACTTCCCACCGCAGCCAAAAAAAAAAACAACGCGCTTCCCCCGGAACTGAGTAATTCGAACTGCAGATGCGTCCTCTTGCTCAATGCTGGTGCTGGCAGCTGAGACCCCGACTGATAGTGCTAGAACCTGCTCCAAGTGGACGCCGCGACGCCATTTTCGTGTATTAGAAACGATAGTGATGCATTGATTTTCCTTTCGTCACTAGAAAAACGACGTCGCTGCCCTCGAATTTGAAGGGGACAACTTTTTTGAGGTCGCAACTATTTTTCGTTCCTCTTGCTTCGACACTCGATTACGCGACAAATTGCGGATGCAATCGTATTTGCACACTTTGACTAGGTGATGTTGTTGGATATTGCACTTTGAAAACCACACGGCGCAACAACTATTTTGTGGAAGAGACTAGGTTGATTTATGATGATTTTCTTGATAAACAATAAACACACACACACAGCGCGCACCACTACGCAACGCATGAATGGTATTTCCACCCGAGTCTCACTGTTTCTGTCCTGTTACTACTGGTACTGTTGCTTTTGCCTCTTCCTTCGCTGATTCGGTTCGGTCTCAGATGAGAGTGAAAACTAGAATGATGGCTGGCACTTCTTGATGGTGTTCTTCTCTGCTTGTGGGTGAGTTTCTTCTCACGCGTCGCCGTCGAATGAAATGGGTAGCGTGAGAAGTGAGAAGATTTATCACACACCGCGACGACATCTGGTCGTTGGAAGCAAAACTAGCGGTTTGTTTACGCTGGAAAAAGCTGATTTCGACGAGCCGGTTGAGAGTGTCATATGGAGTTTAACGGAAGTTTTGCACAGTAAACACGCCAAAATTTAATATTCCCTAACAATGGCTAGAAGGGGTGGAAAACTCAGTGAAAATCCAGTTGACCGGTTGAAGCAGATCAATTATTACGAGGAGCAACGCAATTTGAAACCGGGACAGTGTAATAAGGTGCGTATATTATTGCATTGAGGCAGTCATCAGAGACAATAATCGACATGACTAAAATCGGTTTCAGCCGTGCAACCTGCCTCCCAATAAAGATAAGAGCTGATAAGAGTATATTTTTTATCCACCACTCTTTCACCCAGCTTAGATCCGTCAATTCCGCTTTCACAATTTCTGAATCTGGTCGATATAAATAAATAGGCAAGCAACAGTTTGAGTTACTATTGCCGGCAACAGCTGTTGTACCTCCCGGTGTCACGCGATCGAGGATTTTTAGGGAAACTATAGGGACAAGAGTGCCGCTCTCAATAATGACGAAAATAAAATAATGAATTTTCAATGCTATCTCGCCCATGCATTCAGTCTGCATACGATTAAACGTAAATCAATCCAGTTGCTAATCAAAATACTCGAGTATTTTTGATTTTGTGTGAACTACCTCAGTCTGTTCCATTCCACTCTATCTAAGACTGCAAGTCGCCAGCAATCAGCCATGCTTCCTGTGAAGGCTAAGCGGGTCACCTTCCTCCTGGTTGACCCACCTGCGCGAATCTTCATCTTGTTCCAGTCGGGTCGTCATCGAGAAGTGTACCCCATTATAATGGTTGTCAATGAATTGCAACACAGAAACCATCATCAAGATAGCGCTATAACTGTAGTTTAATATGGAAATGAAAATGAAAGAGCGAGGTTTGGTGAGACCGTGGGAACCAATCCGAAAGGATCATCCCTGATCAAAAAAGCTCTCGCTACACAAGCTACGTGGACTGTACTTACCTTACCAATCAGGCTAAGGCCTTGTTGTCCTCTGCTGTCCGAAGAAGTCGTCTCCACTCTACTCGATCCATGGCCACAGTTCGCCAGCCTCGTAGTCTGCGAAGGGTCCGCAGTTCAGCTTCTACTTGGTTGATCCACCTTGCCCGCTGCGCGCCTCTTCTTCTTGTTCCTGTTGGGTCGCTTTCTAGAACCATTTTCACTGGGTCGTCGTGCGGCATTCTTACGACGTGCCCAGCCCACCGCAGTCGCCCAATTTTTGCAATGTGGACGATGGATGGTTCTCCCAGCAGCTGGTGCAATTCGTGGTTCATTCGCCTCCTCCACGTTCCGTCATCCATCTGCACTCCACCGTAGATGGTACGCAACACCTTCCGTTCGAAAACACCAAGGGCGCGTTGGTCCTCCACGAGCATAGTCCAGGTCTCGTGGCCGTAAAGGACCACCGGTCTAATCAGCGTCTTGTAGAAAGTCAACTTCGTGCGGCGGCGAATTTGATTCGACCGGAGCGTCCTCCGGAGTCCAAAGTAGGCACGATTCCCTGCCATAATGCGTCTTTGAATTTCTCTGCTGGTATCATTTTCGGCGGTCACCAGTGAGCCCAAATACACGAACTCATCGACCACCTCGATTTCATCACCGTCAATCTGAACTCGGGGTGGGAGGCGAATATTATCTTCGCTAGAACTTTTTCCTTTCATGTATTTTGTCTTTGATGCGTTGATGGCAAGTCCAATCCGTCTAGCTTCAGCCTTCAGTCTGATGTACGTTTCCGCCATCATCTCAAAGTTCCGTGCCATAATGTCAATGTCATCGGCGAAGCCAAGGAGCTGGATGGACTTCCTGAATATCGTGCCACTCGTGTCTATCCCAGCTCTTCTGATCACACCTTCTAACGCGATGTTGAACAGCAGACACGAAAGTCCATCACCCTGCCGTAACCCCCTTCGAGATTCAAAGGGACTCGAGAGTGTCCCCGATACTCGAACAACGCACATCACTCGATCCATCGTCGCCTTGACCAATCGCGTCAGTTTATCCGGAAGTCCGTACTCGTGCATAATCTGCCATAGCTAATCTCGATCGATTGTGTCGTATGCGGATTTGAAATCGATGAACAAATGATGTGTGGGCACGTTGTATTCGCGGCATTTCTGCAGAACCTGCCGAATCGCGAAAATTTGGTCCGTGGTAGCGCGGGCACCCATGAATCCCGCCTGGTATTGCCCCACGAACTCTCTTGCATATGGTGACAGACGGCGGCATAGAATTTGGGAGAGTACCTTGTAGGCGGCGCTCAGCAGTGTGATCGCGCGGTAGTTGCAGCAATCCAACTTGTCGCCCTTTTTGTAGATTGGGCATACGACACCTTCCATCCACTCCTCCGGTAATATCTCCTCCTCCCAAATCTTGACAATTACCCAGTGCAGCGCTCTAGCCAGTGCTTCACCACCGTATTTCAATAGCTCACTTGGTAGTTGATCTACACCAGTTGCTTTGTTGTTCTTCAGCCGATCGATCTCCTCCTCAACTTCTTGAAGATCAGGGGCCGGTAGCCTGTCGTCTTCTGCGCGTGCTCCAAGGTCTGTTGCCGTGCCACCTTCGTTTTCTGCTGCTTCACCGTTGAGGTGCTCGTCATAGTACTGCTTCCACCTCTCAATCACCTCACACTCGTTCGTGAGAAGGTTACCGTCCAAGTCCTTGCACATATCGCCTTGCGGCACGTAGTCTTTGCGCGAACTTTTTAGCTTCTCGTAGAACTTCCGTGTGTCGTTTACGCGGTGCAGATTTTCCATCGCCTCGCGATCTCGGTCTGCCTGGTGACGCTTTTTCCTTCGGAAAAACGAGTTTTGTCTGTTCCGCGCATGTCTGTATCGCTCCACATTCAATCTCGTGCGGTGTTGCAGCATTCTCACCCGTGCTGCATTCTTCTCCTCTACTAACAGTTTGCATTCGCCGTCAAACCAGTCATTTCTTCGGTCCGGGATTGCAGTACCTAGTGCCGCTGCAGCAGTACTACCTATGGCTGAACGGATGTCCCGCCAGCCATCTTCAAGAGAAGCTGCGCCAAGCTGCTCTTCCGTGGGTAGTGCAACTTCCAGCTGCTGCGCGTAGTCCTGGGCAACTCCGGCGTCCCGTAGTTGCTCAATGTTGGGTCGCGGCGTTCGACTTCGACGTGTGTTATGCACCGTCGAGAGTTTTGAGCGCATGCATACTGCAACTAGGTAGTGGTCCGAATCTATGTTCGCACTGCGGTACGTGCGGACGTTGATAATGTCGGAGAAGAATTTCCCGTCGATTAGAACGTGATCGATTTGGTTTTCTGTGTGTTGGTCAGGTGATCTCCAGGTGGCTTTGTGGATATCCTTGCGGGGGAAAAAGGTACTTCGAACTACCATACCCCGGGAGGCTGCAAAGTTCACGCATCGTTGGCCGTTGTCGTTCGATACGGCATGCAGGCTGTTGGCCCGATTGCCGGTCTATATATTGCCTCCCGTCCTACCTGAGCGTTCATGTCGCCGATGACGATTTTGACGTCCCGTTGCGAACAGCCGTCGTACACCTGCTCCAACTGCGCATAGAACGCTTCTTTCTCGCCGTCGGGTCTCCCTTCGTGTGGGCAGTGCACGTTGATGATGCTGTAGTTGAAGAAACGGCCCTTAATCCTCAACTTGCACATCCTCGCGTTGATCGGCTGCCAACCAATCACGCGTTGGCGCATCTTACCCAGCACTACAAAGCCGGTTCCCAGCTCGTTGGTGGTGCCACAGCTCTGGTAGAAAGTAGCCGCTCGATGCCCGCTTTTCCATACCTTTTGTCCCGTCCAGCAAAGTTCCTGCAGTGCTACGACTTCGAAGTTGCGTGGTTGAAGTTCGTCATAGATTAATCTATCGCAACCCGGGAAGCCGAGCGATTTGCAGTTCCATGTTCCGAGTTTCCAATCGTAGTCCTTATTTCGTCGCGTAGGTCTGTGCCGATTGTTCCGGTCCGTATTTCTTTCTTCGGTATTTGCAACTTTGTTTTTTTTCCAGGGCGGCTTGTTGGGCCTGCCCCAACCCCCTGTCTCGCCGGGGGACCATCGTGCACAGCTCTGTTTAGAGTCCCACGCTGGCACTAGGACGGTGATCAGCCGCTCCTAACATGGAGAACAGACGCCGTTTTGAGCCGCACCTACATAGTGAACAGACGCTCGGGTTTGGTGAAGCATTTCCTCTATCACCGTACTATGGTTACCGCGCCAGTGTTCGCGTCGCACCTCTTAACTTTGCTATTGCCGGACTGGCAACATTGCCCAGGCTACGCCACCCAGCTGTGTCCATGTTTCAGCTGGTAGTCTTTTGTTATCATATGACTCGAGGAGGCGTGAAGTAGGAACTTGTGAGGACCAGGGCTAGGTATTCCGCTCCTTCCAGGTTGTCAACTCACCATTTTGTAGCCCAACGTGGACTGTCCACCTCGTATAACATGATCAAGTACGATACCTGGTTGTATTCAATTTACCACTGTAGGGTCAAAAACGGAGGGTGGACCCGTAACAGAGACACTTCCGCGTGATCCACGGGAGCAAGAAGAATCTCCTTCCAATGATAAAAATGTTCCAATCTGAAATAGAACAAGCCATCATACGAGGGGATGTCCCAATGAGTGGGGAGAAGAGCCCACTTTCAATTCACGAAATGTTAACACTAGGGAGTTGGCAATTCCACATTCCCCATCTAAATCGCTTCAATCAGGTCCCATCCCTACCCAATGAATTTATATGATTATATGAAAATGTGTATATGTATATGAAATTGATGTGATACGCGATAATTCAAATAGTTTCTGCGGTTGATGGTAAATTTAAAACATACAAATGGTTTGATCTAACGGCATTCAGTCTCTCATCGATAAAAATATCTTTGTGCTCAGAAAACGAAGTCCTTTCAGATGGTGTATAAAAACCGGTATGTCTTTCGAAATTAAACAACCCAATTGGAAAAAATTAATGCGTCTTTGACAAAACTGTATTAATCATCATCGACGCTGAATATTTAAATTGGCCGGCGTTAAGTCAGAGGGGACTAAATACCTTACAAAGGAAAACGGCCAAATGGGTTGTCCCATTAAATAACAATTTATGCAAGGAGAATTTTCGTCTTAAAAAAAATGTTGGACCAAGCAAGCCTGGTCCGGTCTGACTTATCACCGACCTATTGACTTATCACATAAACCTTTGTCCAACAATTTTTTTTTAAGACGAAAATTCTCCTTGCAATGAAACATTTTGTTTCATGAAATAATGCTAACCATGCAGTTGACAAACTAGTTGATTTTGAGTTCCTTTCGATTAGATGTTGATAAAAGCTAGATGGAGTAAGTTTAAAAATGTGCGTTTTGTTGACTTATAGAATATTGCATTCGAAAACTTCATCATACAAGAAAGATGCATCCAAATAGGGGAATGGCTCTAATGTTGGCCTATGGATCTAAGATTGGGCCCATCGCTAAAAATCTACTATTAATCAATTATGATCAATCGATTAGATGAACGCGTCATTTGGACGGTACTAATGGATATTTTTTGGCGCTATTGAAAATTTTGTCGATTGCTGAATTTATGTATGGGCCCAAATTAGGGGCATTTAGGCCGACATTACATCCTTTTCCCCTAATGGCTCAAACTTTTTTTTTCTATTCGTTTATTCGGTTCAAATTTCCTGATCCTACGTTCATTTATTTTCAGTACCTCCATGCGGTCATCGATCCAGATTTTCTACAGGGTCAACATGGGGCCGAAGTACTGTCTAAGCTAAACGAACTGAACCTCAAGTACGAAATCGAACAGCAACTGGCTCCACGTGTCATTACTTTCTACCGCGCTACTCAACAGATTCTCACACAACAAGGAACAATGACAGACAGAACGGCCGACCAAAAGTTCTTCATTCACCTTCTGCTGGGCGAGGAATTCGTACGACACGTCAAGGAGCAAAGTTTACTGTCCACCATCGAGCAGCTGCGGGATCTATACCCAGGGAGAACTATTTCGCTGTTGGTGTTTGGATTGGTTGGCTATTGCCGTGATAATCGGGGATGCGTTGGCCGTAAGGACACGGAAATGGCCCTCACGGAGGTGCAGCTGTTTGCGGGCTGCTCTCATCAGTTGGTCGAAACGGCCGAGGAAGTGGGCAATTTTGTTGCTCAGCTGGGGAAGAGCATAGCGGAGCTACCCTACAAACAGCAACAGCAGAAGAAGTACAGTCAAGAACAGCTATACCTAGGCAACGAGAAGAAGGGTTGCGTCCGAGTGGACGGTACATCCGGTTTGCACCAATTGTACCAGAATCAACTGATAAAGATCCCATCGGTAACGTTGGAAGTAGCGGAGGCCATCATCAGTGTGTACCCGAGTCTGAGTCAATTAATCGATGGGTTTCGGTTTGCTTCCAATGCTCCAAATCTGCTGGCAGATATTCCCATCAGACGAGCGGGTGGACCAATTACGAGTTCGATTCGACGAATAGGACCGGAACTGAGTAAAAAGATCTACCTGCTATACAGCAGTACGGATCCGAAGCAGGAGTTATGAAAAGGTGAGATGGTAGGTTTTCTGATTTCGTTCCTTCGACTGAGAAGATGTGATAAGCATTTACTGTTCAATAAATTTAATGTATAGATGTTTTTTTGCCAAATGATCTTATGTTATTAGAACATACATACTTACAAATTTCCTTACTTCTTCCTTTGTAAATTATTGCTACTAAAGTTAAACATTTTCTGGCTCTGCTTGATTCCCTTCGCTATTCTGCTGTTGGGATGGAGCCTCTTCTCGGCAGCATCAATAGAGCCTTCACCCGTGGAAGCACCGGCACCTTGACCGAATTTCCGTGCAAAGAACTTGCCTTTCTTACCTTTCTGAGGCAGTGGTTTCGATCCTCCTTGGAACTTAGAGTAGTCAGCTTGACTGTAGTCGAAAGGCACCGGTTTGTTTGAAGTTTGCTTGAAATCCTTTTGCGCGGCTTTTCCTGGTTTATTAAACTTTTTCTTCTTGTTTTTACCTTTCTTACCCCCGTTGGCAAAGCTACTGTTCTGACTACTCTGACCCGACACATTCCTGGCATCATAATAATCATCATCATCGTCGTTGTCATTGTCGTTCCCAGCATCAGCATTATCATTTATTTCACCTGGCATTTTAATTGGCATTGGGAACTCCCCTTTGGACAGACGATCTGTCTTTTCCTTCTTCTGCTGAGGTTCATAGTTGCTGAACAGGATCTTGTTGGCCGTTTCCGTTTGAACAAGCTTGCGCTTCGCTTCCCTTTCTTCCTGTCTTTTCTGAGCCTTCAAAGGAAGCTTGGACACTGGTTCTGCCTTAACCACATTGGAAGAAGCAGGCTTTTCACCACGTTCCAGTTTCACCACCGGTTTCTCTTCTAGTTCAGGCTCCTCCTCATTCTGGTAACGATTGCGGCAAGTTTCCAAGTGCCTCTCGTATGGGGTGTTGAATTTACGATCCTGATAGGATAGGTTCAGGGTGCCGTTCAGACTCTGGTCACGGTCTTGCTGCTGTGGAGAGAAATATTCAATCAGTACTAGTTAAACTAACTTTCGCTAATGGTCTAATGGCTCACCTTGTTTTGATAGTGCATTTCGATGAATTTGATCATCTTGGAATCCTCCGATAAGCTATGGTCCAAAATTAGTCTTCCCTTCTCATCCAACGTTCTCATTTTCGACTCCACGAATACTGACGCATCCGGTTGCTCTTTGACTATGCCGGCCACAACCTCCTCGCAAACGCCAATCTTGCTGGATGAACTGAGCAAAGTCGGCATGTTGGTCTCCAGGTGCACCCCATGGCTAGTATCGTGCGGACAAAACAGTGGATTACTCAAGTCGAACGATGATTGCATCTTGTGGCGAGTGTCCTTCTGATGTTCGATCGCTTGCGGAACGGCCTTATTCAACGGGATCTCCCTTGCTTTGAGGATGATCTGATGCAGCGTATGCAAATGTTGCCGTACTAGCGATGGGACCGGCGTGCAGCAAGCGATTATTCCTTGCATCTCGCGGGGCAACTTGGATGCAATGTCCAACACCATGTGCTGAGGTAGAACGTAACCGGGGGATTCGTCTTCCTGGCGGGCGATTTTGTCGCGCCAGTAGAGTATTTCCCGGAAAGCATACATTTGGCGTTGATCGAACACGTGCCTTGACCGACGATAGATGTTCATGACTGCATCTTCGTTGATGACCGGTTTAATGTAACGCTGCTTGCACATGAAGGTAGATTTGTTGTAAACGGTAGGCAAGAAGCTAGCGCCTTTCGCGATCAACTCGTTACGCATTCGATCGTAGATGTATAGCAGATAGTGGGTATCTTTACGAGCATAATCGACGAAATTGTGTGGAATTGGACGAATACGCCAATCGGCTAGCTGGTACGCTTTGTCCGTCTCGATGTTGCAATAATGCTTCAAGAGGAACTGTAAACCAATTCTTGAAAACTCCAAAACCTGTTGATTGAAATTAACAGAAATAAATTCAATAACTTAGCTATGTTCTTACGAATTTCTTCTCACCTTCGCAGCTTCACCAGTATCAAACATATTTACTATGTACAAGGACAAATCCCGCTGAAGCCATTCGATATCGCTTATCGAACCGTGCAATACTTTCACCACCTTTGGATTGGTGAACACTTCGTTCAAAACGTACAATTCTTCGCGAAGAGCCAACGTATCGATGATATAGTCCTTACTTCGTGTAGAAATTTGCATCAGACAGGTGAACCCCTGATATGTCCGATACGAATGGTGTTCCAAATCAATTGCAAGCTCTTTGGCAGCCTTCAATTCCCTCAAAAGCACCGGGAGTTGATTTTCCTTATCGATGATGTCCATGGGGGTGTTTTCTAGCAGCAAAGGTTCCTGTGGCTCTACCGTCTTCAGTGCTTCTTTAGAGGGTTCAAACCTGTCCAACTCAAATTCGTACGGATGCAGATAGCTGACAATATTCCCTGCCTCGTCGTACTCAGGAAGAACAGCCAGCGGCTTCAGAGAATTCGGCTTTTCCTTTATCTTCGGGACGAACGGATTCAACGACGAGTTATCCACCGGAACTTTGAAATTTGCTTGAGGTCGCTGTATGTTCGTTCCAGTAACCAGAGTAGCCTTCATCACTGCAGCAGCTGCGGTAGTCTTAATGGAATTGTTCCAACTGCCACTCAGACGCTGCCGAGGTGTAGCCTGAAGCTGGATTTCGCTCTGCACAAGCACCGTTTCGTGCTTCTTCTTGATTCCCGCCACTTCGTCCAGATTTGAATTGATTCGCTCAAGAATGGAGTCGTTGAACTCCTGCAGTAGTTCAAATTTTTCCTCCCGATCGCGAACGACAATGTTCCCTTTTATTTCATGCATTTTCAGCACGTCAGAAATCATGTGCAGAACATTGTTCGCCTGAGTATCCATGATCCGGACGAACGATGGGTGCGTGTCATACAGATCTCGAGAGTTGCCGGAAGGCAATGCCAGAACAGCTTTCATGGCGTTGAGCATCAATTTTTGGCCTCCCTGTAATTAAATATCATGCTTTTTCATGGCTGGAAATGAAACCAACTTTAAAATACTTACATCGGTATATTTCCGTATCGGACTGGCGTCGATTTCCGGAGCTGGACGAGAGACGGATGCTACAGACGTAGTAGCTGCTGATTTCGATTGGCTCAGAGATTTCGCTGGTTTGCTGGATTGGCCTGGCTTCATGATTGCTGGTTGAAACTATTATCAACCGCAAAACCGAATATTTGTCACAGATCTTTCACCAAAATCGTGCCAAATTATACGAAAAACCTTATTAAAAACGTGAACGTGCCAGAAGTGTAAAACAAAACAAAAGCACACTTTGGTATTTCGAACAATAATGTCATTTTTAATCGTATGTCGACTTTTGCTTCAAAGGTAAAAGTGAATCCCCAAACGCAATAGGAGATGTGAGACGCTATTGCATTATGATTTGTCAACCAATTTGAGTTGATGGTGACTCTGTAGCTCTTTACTCCTATGGTAAAATTCATAAGCAAACGTCAGACTGTGCGTGAAACATGGCGTACTTCGTACTATCCTTTCACACCACCGAAAAATCCCCCAAGAAATTGTCAATCTTTTCTAGAAGAGACAATTTTTCGACGGTGCTGTCAACGCCAATGATGACTGATGATGATACGATGGTTTTGTGGGTTTTGTTCCGTGTTGTACTTTTCTTTTCACCGTCCATAGACCACCTGTAGTGTTGTAGTAATTAATTTCAATATAAATTTATGTGAAACCACAGTTTAAAAGTTCTAAACCCAGTCAGAGAATTCCATCAATCTATCATAGTTCGAAAGCATTCCGTCCGGAAACGATGAGCAGGCTAATTTGTACCATCACGATCGTGTTGCTTGGTGTGACCGGATTCTGGGCTGCTGTTACTGAAGCCGGTATCAAAACCGTCACCGATGATGATCTCGTAAAACTGTTCCACAGTCATTCCAATTTTGTGGTTTTATTCTGTAAGTACATGAGCCCTAAAACATCATATTCAATGAATATTCAGGAATGCAATGCTGGTTTATTTTATTGTTGCATTTATTGAATACTAATGCATTCATAAATAACACCCAACAAAACGGAACAAATCGGCTGATTATTCTTAAATCACGCCATACACTGGTGGAAAAGCGGGTCTGAAATATTAGGTAATGGCTATTTCTAGCGTTCAGAATTATAATGGCCTAACTGCGATGATCGAAGTTCTCTTCGCATCAGGGCGTCACAATATCAGCTTCAATCGACCAAATCGATACGACGAAGAGACTGCTGGCTTTTTTTCTGTTAAAGTCGAACAGCTTCGCAGCATTCTAGAACCTCAGTCGGCGTGCACAAACAAATGTTCAATCGCTTGTCTCTCTTTCTCCCGTCGCTCCATTGGTCTTTCTTTCAAGCTTCTGTGAAACGGATGAGTGAAAGAGCGCTCGACTTTGATAGTTTTCTCTTTCATGAAACACATCAATAGAGGTTTCATGACGTATAAGACGGAAAATGAAATAACACATTTAAAGCATTTCTTACGTCAAAACACTTGAAGATTACACGTCATATTTTTAATTTATCTTCCATCCATATATTTATCTAAAAAAATGATCGAAAACGGGACATAACGCATTTTAAACAAATTGAAAGAGCGATGATAGAGTGTTCGTGAAAGGGGATTGAAAGCCATAATGAGGTTTCGTTTAACTAGAAAATCGACGTTAGTAACATTGAAAGCGATGAGCAAAGCAACGACGAGAAGTTCCACAGCCAGCCTTTCCTTCTAAGCGTCCTGCTTTTTTATTTTCGTTTCTTGCTGATAGTCTAGCTAGGCGTTATAGAAATGAAGCGTCGAACACGTATGTACGAGAGAAACAAAACACGAGTTCATTTTAGAGCTTCGAAATTGTAGAGCCCTGCTTCGCATTACCACAGTTCAGTAAACAAATTTTCCCTCGAATTTTCTGAAATTATCACAATACAATGTAGTGAAAGGTTGTATTAGCTAGCATCATCAAACGCACCGAGAAATGTTAATCCAGACGAGTTATTATCAAAAGAGATAATCGGTGAAGAAAATCGATCATCGCAGATATGTCCTTATGATTCTGAACACTTGATTTCAAATTCATTAATATCAAAACGTGATTTGATCTCAGATTTTATATGATATCAGGCATAACATTTGATAACGGCACAAAAACATGTGTAAACAAACTTTCTAAGGCCCTTTACACGCGAACCAGTACCGCTGGTTCTTCATGTCTTCTGTCACTGTTTGCAAAATATCTAATAGCAATTACCTTTGTTGTAATACTTCCTGTATTGCCATGGTCATCTGGGAGGAGGGTCGCATCCAGTGCTTTCCCCAGGAACCGTTCACGGCCACCAGCTACTGCCCGTCCAGTCTTGGGCGTATCCATCGAGGCGAGGCATCCTTCAGATTACTTACAATCTCCGACACTCAATGCAAATCGCCGGCACACTTACGCTAGTTACAAAAAAAACACACCCGTGCAAAGAAACGCAATAACAGTTTCTCATTACTTGTAGCCAAAAAGAACTGTGACACCTGTGATAAGCTTGAAGCCGTGCTTGGAAATCTCAAACAAGAAATCAAAGACAATCTAGAGGCAGAAATCTTCAAGGCTACCGGAAGCCAGATGGTTCGTCTGTACAGTCCAACGAAGGAACCGGCCGTGGTTTACTTTCGTCACGGTGTTCCTCTGCTATACGATGGGCCAGTTAATGAGGATGCACTGATCGGAAAATTGGTTCAAAACAAGGATCCAAATGTCAAGGAGTTATCCGATGAAAATTTCGAACATCTAACTCAAGCTTCGAGTGGAGCTACTACGGGAGATTGGTTCATCATGTTGTGAGTTTTGAAAGATGGAAGTTTATTTTATTTTGAGTTAAAACATGGGTGGGTATATTTCTAGTTACACATCGAACTGCGTCGATTGTCAACGTTTGACCGCTGTTTGGGAAGCAGTGGCTGGTGATCTCAAAACGCGGATGAATGTCGCTCGAATGCAAAAAGATGGAAAAGGAAGCGCTACAGCAGAACGATTCCGCGTTAACGAAGTACCTGCTTTCATTTTGTAAGAATATGTCTGGTTGGTTTGTCTAGGAACACTTTTGACATTCTCCTTCATTTTCAGCTTGCGCCAAGGAAAATTCTACCGATATGAAATTGGAAAGTATGACATCAAGTCGTTTGTAACTTTTGCACAAGACTGGTACAAAAATACCACCCCGGAGAAAGTCCCTGTACCACAGTCACCATTGTACGTTAATGACATTTGTTTCAATCACTCGTTCAAATAATTAATTTTATTTTTTTTATAAATTTACAGTGATCAATTGGTAGAGCAAGCTGTCTATACTTTGAAGAATCTACCGGAGTTTGTTGACGTTCTCAGGACGGAATTCCCAACCTGGTTCTATATAATGCTTGGTCTGATCGTGTTTGTAGTTTTGGGATTTACGGCAACGATTATTCTTGCAATCATCACTAGATGCAAGGCAGCAGCGAAGAGCAAGAAAACGCGCTCCAAGAAGGCAAAGTAAATTTATGATTATGTGTATACATATCTGTTCGGTAAGAGCATGAGAACCAGAAGAAAAAATGGGTTGTCTATTCTTTTGTTTTTTTTTTAAATTACCCAAACAAGATTTTTATTTACCTTTGACTAACTCTTGATAGGTATAGAAAATCATCCTTCTCTACCTCTTTAATTTCCCACCTTTTAACTATCATCACTGTTACACACAAAGAACATAAATTGTTCCTATAAAAATAAAGCAAGATCAAATTAAAAGTTTCCCAAATTTCGTAGTTTCAACTATGAAATTTTTCAAAATTGTACTTATTTTTTGCATTAACTAATCATGTTTTTATCACTTCATGCGTGAAGTTAACGATTTACATAGTTCGAGATGCTGTGCTTGAAAACGAAAAGGAAAATTTTGTTGAAAAGTTCATAAAAATGCTTTTGGTCCTATTACCCCGCTGGCGCGTTTTACGCCATTTCCCCCTACATATTGACTCACAAAATCAAGAACAGTAAAACTCGAAAGAACTGCTCATGTTTAGAAGAAGTAAAAATCTCCACTGTTTATTTTTATTCAAAATGTTATGCATTATGCCAAACAACTTCGGGCTAATGTTTCTACATAGTCTGTTAGGGGTCGTCCATTAATTATGTCACACATTTAGGGGGGAGAGGGGTTTTTGAAAACTGTGACGAGCCATACAAAAAAAAATTAAGGTTCATACAAAAAATGTGACAAAGGGGGGAGAGGGGGTTGAAAATGGGCCAAATTTGCGTGACATAATTAATGGACCATCCCTTATAAGAAAGTATTATTAAATGGGACCATAAACAGCTGAACTAGGGGTAAGACAACTGTTCTCAGAGTTAATATATTTGCAGTGAGTAAATTTGAGTTACTCAATATTTACTCAAAAACAAACAATGTAGTCTAATATTTTTCATCAAATAATGTTCAAACAATCCCCGTCTGACAGCCCTGCGCTTTGGTCAGAGAGCGTATAGGGCGTCGTTGTGCCAATTTGGTCGTGGTACATTTCGAGTATGAGAGAGTGATTGCAGTTTGCTCAAAAGTGCCTGAGTAAAATGCAAGTATTTTCGTTGATTACCCGTAGTTGTTACAGTGAAGATATACACCCATATTCTCGTTTATGTCTGGACGAGTTTGCCATACAGAAACATTTTTATTTGATTTTGTGTGGTGGATGGGTTTCGGGCGTGGACAGGCATATGGGTGATAATATTAAGTTTACGTTAGGATAACGTTGAAACATTGAGAAATGTATCGCTTCAGTTTAAGAAGCACTTCACTTCGCAACCGATGAACCATTCTGACGGCCTACATTGCCGTGCAGGCGCCGTGTGTTGGCAGGGTCAAATATTGGACAGTTTGACGTTTATAAAGTACACTCAGTTAAAACTGTATTTTTGAACTTTATCTCTATACATTCTTAGATGTTTCTTAGTAGATTATCATGTTGGTGTAAGCTGATTCAAAGAGTAAATGGTATTAACATTGAGCTGTCCATAGTTGGGCGTTGTTGAACTTCTGGTACTTGCACAACATTTCATGTGAATACCAAAGTAACCATAATCACAAAATAGCTTTAGGTGTGGGTTCAGAGTGGTACAATGTCACTGAGATATGGTTAGTTGGGTATTCAGATGAAACTATTACTTTAAAAAACTAATCCTGGTTGTATCTCTTTTTCGTTTTTTCGTTTGCATGTAACACTGTTTGATATTACTAACCGCACCGAGCCTTCATTCCGGGTGGTGAGCGAACCTGAAGAAGAAGAAGAAGACCATAAACCCCTTCTCGGAACGAGTGTTTTGTTAGTGGACCTGGTCTGCGATTCAAGGTTGGACTCTGTGATGATAAATATCACATAACAGGTAAAGTAGGCAGGATCATCTTTATCGAAATGTAAGTATTATTGACAATGATCATAACTAGATTATATGCAAATTTATATGATAGGTACCTGGATCAACGTTGTTTAAACATGCGCATTCAATCGTGACGGCATCTAATTCTGCATTTTAAACCTACCCAACCCTTTTCCTTTCTACAATCCCTGAGCCGCTGGTTCACCATAAGTGTACCTCGCAGAACTTTTTTAACCCCCATGGGTAAAGATGCTGTGTTGCTCACTCCTCTCCCCTTCCCTGGTGTATTATGGATGGTGTGAATATTCACATCGGTGACATGGCCCCTGACCCCCTTGTACATCATAAAATCAAAATCAAAAATCAATCAATCCCCGTCTGACAGAATGTTTTGATTTCAAGATTTAGTTTTCATTCATTAAAAGATCCAAGTTAGATGGCTCTTGTCCAAGCCAAGGGATGTTTAGGTCTCTTTTGCTTTCTAGGATGGATGGCAAAAGTTTAATGTCTTTGAAGTTTTTGGTGATGTGGTGGTGTTAGTGTTTCCATATCCCAGCCATTTATAATTACCCGGGAATCTTAAAATAGCTGAAGACTCTTCCCGGAAATCGGGAAATATTTTCGGTAGTTATTTATTAAAACTTGAACTTCGTCAGGATTTCTCCCGAAAGATTTTTCGGACAATTTTTCCCCTTGAAGATTTCGTCCAGCTTCTTCGGAAGGATTCTTATGATTACTCTGGGAGGTTTTGTCTGACTTTGCACGAAAGTTTCTTCCAACATCCCCTGGAAGTTTTTTTTTTTTAAACTTGCCCTGGTAGAATCTTCCACCTTCGTCCATTGTTCAACGGAAGTTTCATCATCTTTTCATTCCAACAGTATCAGATTATAATCAGAAGTCCTAGATTACAATCAGAAGTCCTACCGCTGGAAGTGGAAACTATTTCCCATTTCATCCGGACTTCCCACGGAAAACTTTTCTGAATTATTCTGAAAGTTTCATCCGGCTGCCTAAATTTGCATGGAAGTCTCTTCTAACTTCGCCCGGGAGTTTCTCACAGTTTGTGTCAGAAGCGGGTACCTGTTTCGATTGAAAGATTCTTCGCCAGGAAGCTTTCCTGACTTCGCACTAAAGATTCGCCAAACTTTCTCCGGAAATGTCTTATCAATTTTCCCCAAAAGTTGTGTGGTCATTTTTAATATAATATATGTTTAACATGGTTTTCGTACAAATCAACTGCTTCTCGGGAAGTCAAACTAGTTTTCTGGGAATCGGGAAATGATAATTCTGGTAAATTGCCCGGGAAGGAAACACTAGATGGTGTGATTTCAAGACTAAGGAAGTAAGAATTTGGCCAAATGTTTTCAGAAGATTAATTTAGCTCATGAAAATTAAAACTCAATCTCTTAAAATCGGTCAAAGAGGTTTCATATTTTGTTGCACTACATGCCTAAAATGAGAAAACTCTTTCGTGATAAGCAACATTTTATTTACCAGCATTCATTAAGGAAAAGGGGTTTAAATCTATGAGAATATTTAGCTAGAAAATGTCAGAGTTAGGGTCAACTCTCTCCAGAAGTGTTCGTTGTTTTCCCTGATACTCCTGCAAAAAGACATCAATAGACACGAGTTGAAAAAGCTTGAACAGGAACAAGTTTAATTTTCATCGTCTGGTGACAGTCGTCCATACTTTTACTGTAGGGCTTTAACCCAAACAAGTATTGCCTGTTGGGCTGAACCTTATATATATAAATCTTGTCCTGAACACAGCTAGTTTTGCTTCATAGGCAAACCAGTCGATATTTAATTTTATCGAGGGATGATTCATGTCCATCTGTCAAAAACAATCGATCGACATCGCGTTGCTCGCCGAGAGCACGGGGAAACGAAAATCAGCGAAAAGAACAGAAAAAAGTTGATGTAACAAACGTGATCGTGGAATAATTTGTGAAATTTTCGAATTACTAGCTCTAAATTACGGTAATTAATCAGATTGTTTACGTGATTAGGCGCCACTGCATGTATTTTTGGATAAATTGAGTGTATTTTAATGAAATTCTTGTGTAAATTTTGGTGTAAAAATTGTGCTCGGCAACTGTCATGGGGTCCTTGAAAAATGACAATTTGCGTAATGATTCGCTATATGCGTATGTTCCCTAAAATTAGAGCCGTGTAGTGAATCTAGCGAAGGATCATTGCTATTAAACAAAGGATCTCTCAATAAATCGAGTGGTTATATAATTTTAATCAAAATTTGTACTACGAATCATATTTTGATTGCTGCTGATATCGTCTGCACTGAGAAGCTTGTAAGGTAGAAGCAGTAAAATTCGCCACTAACCAAAATATTTATAATTTCAGAAAAACGAAACAGCAATAGCAACAAATAATCAGCCATGGAGGAATACGCTCGAGAACCATGTCCGTACCGAATTGTAGACGATTGTGGTGGTGCGTTTGCGATGGGCTGTATAGGTGGTGGCGTGTTCCAGGCAATCAAAGGCTTCCGAAATGCTCCTTCTGGATTCAGTAGACGACTGGTATGGTTTTTAATGCATTTTGGGTTTGAATCTTTTTTGCTAAATTATTTTAAAAAAATAATAGGTTGGCAGCTTAACGGCAATCAAATCCCGCTCTCCGATTATCGCAGGGAATTTCGCTGTCTGGGGTGGCATGTTCAGTACGATTGACTGCACTCTGGTGCATTTCCGTAAGAAGGAAGATCCTTGGAATTCTATCATCAGTGGAGCCGCAACCGGTGGTATTCTGGCGGCACGTAACGGTGTCGGTGCCATGGCAGGAAGTGCAATCATCGGTGGAGTGCTGCTTGCTTTGATTGAAGGCGTAGGAATCCTATTTACGAGAATTTCGGCTGAACAGTTCCGTTCACAACCGATTGTTGAAGACCCTTCGGCGCTTGGCGATCCTTCGCAGAACGCTACGTCGGCGCAGTCCGGCTCGTCCTCATCAATGCCATTTGGTTTCGGTCAGTCAGGTCAAAATTATCAATAAGATTGTCGTCGGCTTTAGTTCTCATAATTTAAAATTTTAAAATTAAAGTTGGACATTTTTTGACTGAAGATTGAGTGCTAGGTAAATGAATGTGTGCGTACACTCACAATTTTGGCTCTCGTGATTATGTGGTCAGTGAGTTGCAGTTAGGATAGGTTTCGAGACGAAAGGCCCATTCTTCTAGTCTAATCGATAGCTAGCCACCAATACCTTCCTGTGATCGTTATCCTGAAAGTGACTCCCTTTTATCTTTTTCCATACATTCCAGGGAAAGAAAAAGGATTCGGTTAGAATGGAAGCTTGATCCTTTCGAAGAATGTGAAAACCCGGGAAGCGTAAGCAAAATGGATGACTGTGCGCGTTCTTGTGACTGTGTAATTGTAGAATCTAGCGAAACTTAAGCAAACATAAATGGGGAAAAAGAATAGTGTTCTGGGAAATGCGCCGATTATCGGCAGCTTTGGATGCCGAAATGAAACTACGAACGAAAAGGTCTAGCTACACCCATCAGGGAGAGGCAGTTTAAGTAAAATTCTGCCTTCTCACTGAGCTCGACTATATGGTATCGTCAACTTTTTTCTGTCTTTTTCTGAACCGGATGAGCAAAATTAGACCTAGTTTTTCTGTATATAAAGCTAAGAGCAAATAAAAATTCGATTATTTCAAACTGACGTACACTGATAGGCAAAATAAAGTGCCCACCCCATCATTTTTGAAATTTCTCTCATTTATTTGGTTCAAATTCAAATAAACACACCGTAGTCTGTTTCGATGTCTTACCTTTATTATTCTTTTAAAGTTACACCTATGGAATACTGAAAATATAAAGTTTTACTTGAAGTAAAAGAAAATCAATTTGGATTGAAAAAGAAAACAGTGACAAAAAAAAGTGCCCACTTCAAAAATCGGTATGTTTTCGATAAGTTTCCATCGGAAAACCCCTCGATTGTTTTTGTTTTGAAAGTTTGACATGTATTGAAGCAAACGGGTGGAACTGGTGCATTTGTACACGTGATCGCATTTGAATCAGTTGAAAAAAATGGAGGACGTAGTGATTTCGAAAGCAATTCCCGTGTGTATCCGAAAATTGGTTGTTCGTGATGTGCAAAACGGTGAATCGCACCGGTCTGTCGCTAGGAAGTACAATATCAGCAAAACAGCGGTCGGGAAAATTCTGCAGAAAATGAAATCGTTCGGATCAGTGGTGGATCGCCCTGGCAGAGGCAGGATGCGCAAAACGGATGCGAGAACGGACACCAAGATCATGCGTGAAGTGAAGAAGAACCCGAAGGTAACTGTCCGCGAGATCCAGGAGGCTCTTCAGCTAACAGTTTCCAGTCGAACTGTTCGTCGCCGTCTCGTAGCACAGGGGTTGAACAGCAAAGTTGCTCGGAAGCGCCCATTTATCAGCAAGGCAAACAAAGTCAAACGGCTTAAGTTTGCTAAGGAGCATGCTGATAAGCCCCTAGAGTTCTGGAAAACGGTTCTCTGGACGGACGAATCAAAATTCGAACTGTTCAACCGGAAGCGACGGGTTCGTGTGTGGTGTAGATCGGGTGAGGAGCTTCAGGAGCGCCACATACAAGGCACGGTGAAGCATGGAGGAGGAAATGTGATGGTCTGGGGGTGCTTTTCGTGGGGTGGAGTGGGAAGCCTGGTGAAAATCGACGGGATAATGACGGCAGATTCCTACATCGACATCCTGCGGGAAAATCTGGAAGTTTCGCTGATCCAGACGGGCCTTGAGGAGAAATTCGTATTCCAGCAGGACAACGATCCGAAGCATACTGCCAAGAAGACTAAGTCTTTCTTCCGGTCATGTCGAATTAAACCACTGGAATGGCCTCCACAAAGCCCGGACCTCAACCCCATCGAGAATTTGTGGGCGATTCTCGATGCCAGGGTTGACAAAACTGGTGTTACCAATAAAAATAACTATTTTGAAGCCCTGGAGCGCGCCTGGGAAGAACTAGATCCACAGCACCTGAAGAATCTAGTGGAGAGCATGCCGAAGCGCCTGCAGCTGGTCCTGAAGGCCAAAGGAGGACACATTAACTATTAGGCTGGTATTCTTTTACTTTATTTTATGTTTTCTGGAGTTAAAATGCAGTGGGCACTTTTTTTTGTCACTGTTCTTTTTTACACCCATTTTGATTTTTTTTTCTTCGAGTCAGTCTCTTCTTTTTATCTGGTATTCTATAAGTGAAACTTAAAAAGAATATAAAGAATAAGATATAAAAAATACTACAGTGTATTTACTTTAATTTGAACCAAATAAATGAGAGAAATTCAAAAAATGATGGGGTGGGCACTTTATTTTGCCTATCAGTGTAGCTTATATGCACTAGTACCGAAAGACTGTAATATCACTCAATACATTATTTGTTTGCATTTTGAGGCAAAATCACTTACCATCTAGATTACCACGGTGAATCGTGGGAGGAAACTCATCGATTCTTCCGGTTCGCCTCCTAGCATCGTGCTATAAGGTACCAGGCGATAACCAGGGTAGTTGATCGATAGCTCGATGACGTCATTTCGTTGGCGTCTGCAATGGGAAATTCTCATAGCAGACGTTGTCGAGTTGTTGAATAGCAACTATCGTGGTAACTCACCGATTACCTGTCGACCTGCCAAATTTGGAAAGACGTCTGCATTGAATTGTCTCATATAATAATATTCCGCCCACTATATCACAAGGAATTGCGAGTAGCTGAGTGGAATGGAGATAAGTTAAGCATTGGGTACAGGACCAAGTCTAGGTCCCTGGGTGGTGCCAGAAGATGAGCGCAATAGAATCATCAAGTTGCCATAAGGCACGGAATGAGACTATTGAATGGCTGGGTAGTCAAAGTCTTCCATTCGTTAGTCATTTCAGGTGGATTAGAACAGGGTTAGGTTTAGGGTGGGCGTTGGCCAGATTTGGATTTTTCAGATATAATCCTAAATAGGACCTAGCTTATTTAATACACTAGTAACCTCAACCTCTGTTACAATGTTTCATTGTGATTAATCAACACTCAATGGGTAAAATATCAAATTTGCGGTAAATTTAAAAAAGGGAACTTGGAGTGTAGAGCGCACTGCCCACTGGACGATCCTGGCCAAGTGAGTGGGTTACGGGTTTATTTGATTGTACGTCATTTCCAAGTTATATATAGATACATTCATACCATTGGCATTTTGTATTTGAGATAAGACAGAGATAGGATGCGGAGGGCCCGCTTAGGGGGAGCGTAACCCATGTTATGGCTTCCATTTATTAAATAGTTCAGATAGGCTTGAAATGATAGGTTCATGGTAAGAAAATGTACCTTATGGTGCCCGTTCACTGATCAAAATTAGATTCAAATCGTCAGGCCCTGCCCTGGAATAAGGGGATTGACGATGATTTGTCAAGTTTCATTTTGCATTTGCATATAATTGTAAGTTTAGGTTTGCTTTTGTAATTGTAAGATAGACAGTTTGCCTCAATTGAAACATTGAGTTGTATAAACTTGACGAATCATACCTCTAAAATAGTAGTAGTTACAGTGCCGCATGATCTAACAACCACTGCCTGCAACTAATGTTGGAGGGGCAGGCAGGGCTGATTACGGATCAAAACTAACATAACTCTAACACTGAAATCATCCCGAAACTAACGCTCATTCATTGCACTTTGAGTCATAAAGTAGTTTTATTTATTTTCCTACTAATCTATCTACACACTTAGTTTTTTCTACCGAGCTCGGCTGTGCGGGTCTCGGCGGGGAGGGTTTCGCTGAGATCTCGGTGGGAGTGACATTTGATTGCTGAGTCTCGGATAATGCCTTTGCTAATAATTACGGTCTAGCATAGGCCTACGGCCAGGTTTCAGTAGGTACACACTCGCTTAACGGCAGAATGGGTTACAGTGGTCGATCAGGGTGTGTGTTGATAAATTACAATTACAATTACAAAATCACTTACCATCTAGATTACCACGGTGAATCGTGATCTTACCCTCTAACTATAATAAAAGCAGCTTATTTATAATGCTGTTCATACAAAATGAGTTCGTCTTTTAACTTTTAAAAGTATCCGGATCTATGGACTAAGTGTAGGGCAAGATGGGTCAGCTAGTACGTTTGTTAATTTACTTGAGCATCGTCGTCAGGCAAGTATGCATACATTAGTTACAGTCATTTGCCTGATCAGTTTCCGTGTTCCAGTGCAACGCTTCATGATGTTTACACGATTTCCAAGAATAATGCTGCTACCTTTATTGCTTCTGGACCATCACCATCACCACCGAGACGCATCGTAGATAGTACTGTGGAAGCCCCTGATTTCTCTGCCTCAGTCACGCTTATTCCAGCCAGCGCTCTGCATAGTCGTCTTGGCCCTGAGTGTAGATGTAGGTCGGGGGTCTTCCAACCAGCTATTACTGGCAAGTATATTGACGATTCAGCTTCTCCTTTGCCTGATACCGCTTCAACTTCTAGCTGTGTTTCCGGTTCTGCGATCTCCACACTAGCCACATCATGTCCATGCATCCGTCCTGCCAACTACCAGCAGGTTTATGCCGCCACCTGCTCTTCCTCGGATCCGGGACACCCTAAAACAGGCACTGAGGAAGCTTCCGAACCTCCCGACCCAGTCGCGCTTGCTGCAGACATCCGCCATCGTCATCGTCCCGGTCCTGTGGTCGGTGATGGTATCGGGGGCTTCCGGCCTGCAACCTCAGGCGAGTATGTTAGTGATTCCGAACTTTCGGTACCTGATGTCCTTTCGATTTCTAGTGCCCGTGATTGCTCCTCGAATGGTCTCCGGATTTACTACCAAAACGTGCGTGGGCTGAGGACTAAAATCGACTCGTTTTTCCTGGCTGTTGCGGAGGCCGAATATGATTTGATTGTGCTGACGGAAACGTGGCTGGACGACCGAATTTACTCATCGCAACTTTTCGGGTCACTTTATTCCGTCTTTAGAACTGACCGGTCTGCCCTAAACAGTCAAAAATCGCGCGGTGGCGGAGTCCTGATTGCAGTATCTACTAGACTAGCCAGCTACGTAAGTACGTCACCCATTTCCAGTCAACTGGAACAGCTGTGGATTGTCGTAGAACTTCCACAAAGCAAGCTTAGTGTAGGCGCAATCTACCTGCCTCCCGACCGCAAAAACGACTGCACGATCATCCGTGAGCATGTGGAATCGTTAGGGTCAATTTCGTCACAATTAAGTCCCTGCTCTCCCGCTTTCGTATTTGGTGACTACAATCAAGCTGGTCTACAGTGGCGCTTTACAGACAGTGGCACACCATTAATTGATCCACTGCTTTCGCATATGCCGGTTGCTTGCTGTGCTCTTTTGGACGGTTTTAACTTTTACGGGTTCACACAAGTGAATACTTTTCCGAACCGAAATGGACGTTTGCTAGATCTTGTCCTGGCAAATGATTCCGCACTACCGGGCACTTCTGTTTCCTTGCCCGTCGAGCCACTGATTGATCTAGATGCCGATCATCCCGCTCTCGTCGTGTCATTTAGTTTACCTGCGCCGATTCTTTTTACGCCGTCATCTGAGTGCTACGCTTTGGACTTTCGCCGGGCCGATTATGTTGCATTGAACAATGCGCTTGCGGAAATTGATTGGCAATTTATCGAAACTGCCGCTAGCGTGAATGATGCAGTGGATTTTTTCAGTGCTGCACTGGAAGATGCTATTTTCCGCATTGTCCCAGCTCGACGACCTCCGCTAAAGCCTGCATGGTCTAACCCACGCCTACGCGTGCTAAAACGTCAACGCTCTGCCGCCCTCCGAAAGTATTGTAACTCTCGCTCGCCGTACTACAAACGACTGTTCAATTTTACGAGTCGTAGTTATCGAAATTACAATCGTTTTCTCTATAATCGACACGTGAGACGCACGGAAGCGAACCTTCGCACGAATCCGAAAAGTTTTTGGTCGTTTGTCAACTCAAAACGGAAGGAATCCGGATTGCCTTGTTCCATGTTTCTCGGGAATGACTCGGCTAATAGTGAAAGAGAAAAATGCGACTTGTTTGCTCGTCATTTCAAGCAAGTGTTCAACGATTTCTCCGCTTCGCCAACACAAGTGCTGGATACTGCTGTTGGGATGCCACGTGATGTGTTTAGTTTCGTTATTCCGCGCATTTCAGAAGACATGGTGATAGCCGCAACACGCAGACTGAAGCTATCGTTCGCCTCCGGACCTGACGGCATTCCGTCATCAGTTCTAAAACGTTGTGTAGCCAATCTCTGCCTTCCACTTGCGAGGCTATTCAATCTCTCGGCACAGCAATGTGAGTTCCCCTGCCGCTGGAAACTTTCTTATCTGTTCCCAGTGCACAAAAAAGGAGATAAACGGAATGTCATAAATTATCGTGGAATCACCTCCCTGTGTGCCTGCTCAAAACTGTTCGAGATTATCATAAATGGTGCTCTGTTCGCACGCTGCAAAAATTATATCGATACAGAACAACACGGTTTCTACCCGAAGCGCTCCGTGTCCACGAACCTGGTGCAGTTCACTTCTAACTGTCTGCGATGCATGGATTCAGGATGGCAAGTCGATACTGCGTATATGGATCTAAAAGCTGCATTTGACACGGTGGACCATAATATCCTGCTGGCCAAGCTGGAGATACTTGGCATCTCGTCAACTGCTGTGGATTGGTTCAGATCTTACTTGGTGAATCGCTATGTACATGTCAAGATTGGCGCGTCGGAATCGGATGTTTTCTCAAACAACTCGGGAGTCCCGCAAGGCAGTAACCTAGGACCGCTACTATTTTCGATCTTTTTAAACGATGTCGCCTTGCTGATACCATTTGGATGCCGCGTTTTCTATGCAGACGATACGAAAATCTACAAAATTATTAAAAGCCTCTCGGACTGCTGGGATCTCCAGAATATGTTAGGTATTTTTGCTGACTGGTGCTCAAGAAATTTGATGAGTCTAAGCATAGAAAAATGTAACATTATTTCATATCACCGAAAAATTGAACCAATCATGTTTGACTATGTTCTCTACGGACGATGTCTTGCTCGTGTAGAGCACATAAAGGATCTCGGCGTTACCTTGGACTGCAGACACACTTTCAGAATCCACTACAATGACATCATCTCCAGAGCTAATCGACAATTGGGCTTTATTTTCAAAATTGCCGACGAGTTTCGTGACCCGCTATGTCTCAGGTCACTTTACTGCTCGCTTGTGCGATCCTTATTGGAGTCAAGTTCAGTTGTTTGGTGCCCTTTCCATGCTAGCTGGATCACTAGAATTGAATCCGTTCAACGCAAGTTTGTGAGATATGCTCTTCGTTTCCTCAACTGGCGTGACCCAACGAACTTGCCACCGTACGAGGAGCGTTGCCGTCTCCTGGGAATCGAGCCATTAGAGGTGAGACGGACGGTCGCTCAAGCTATGTTCGCTGGAAAGCTGCTTACAGGTGACATTGACTGCCCAACACTGCTGTCACAACTAAATATGTATGCCCCTGAGAGGTCTCTTCGTCAACGCGACTTTCTGTTTTTGGAACCATGGAGCCGGAATTATACACAACACGAGCCAATTCGAGCAATCAGCCGGCAATTCAACAACTTTTTTTATATGTTCGACTTCAATGTATCAGCTGATGTGTTTCGTCATCGGCTACTTGGCCTTTTCCGTACCGTTGACCGTAACTATTTAGTTTAAGTTTTATTCATTTAGACAGTATTTGTCAGTTGAATTTTTCAATAAACAATAAACAATATCAACAGGTTCAATACAACCCCAATGATGGTTTGCTTTTCAAACCAGCCTTGGGGCTACATTAAGCCTGTCGATGTTGACTTTCAATTAAATGGATAAATTGGGTAGATGACCCACCCTTGTCCCCCCTTACCCTATTTCACAAATAGTTACTGTTTGCAGGCAAGAAGGGTTAATGTTATGCACGAGCATCGTGCTATTTCCTGCAGTCTAGTAAAATATGCCTAACGTTGATGGCGATGGCGCAGCTTTCACACACAGGTGGGTCTGTTCTTTTGATCAGGAACTCGTGTGTAAGCCCAGTATGTACGATCCTTAACCGGGTTAGGATCAGTTGGCCTACTGGATTTTTGCTGTCATTCCATGGATTAGTGGTAAATTTTATCTCACGGAGCTTAACATCATTTAAGAAGCAGGCAGGTACTTAATCGTGTGCAAAATTAATCAAAATTACTTAGAAGATACAGTAGGTATATAAGTAATGGCAACCCGATTTAAATATGACATCATTTTGTTATGGCTAATGACTTACTGCTGCCTGCGGGTACTAATAGAGATTTAACATTCTTGCAAACGTGAGATATTTTTTCTAGTTTGTTGTTTAATTTATTATTGGTGTTGGTGACTATAAGTGGGATGGAAGAGGTGGCACGAATATTTGAATGATTGAATATTTCCTGTTTTGCATATTGTTTGTGCCACTAAGCAGAAGATTCATTATCTGAGAGACACTCTACTGTCTAGAGCGTAGTTCGAGCAGTCCTCAATTGAGCTGGAATCAAACGAGATCCCATTGTAATTTTCATACACATAAAGGCTATTTTAATAATGTTTGGCACTAAATCGGGTCTCCCGCCAAAATAGACAGTCTCTGGATACTATTAAACAACTACTAAATTATGATAAGTAAAACATACCTGACAACAAATAGATAAGTGATCCATTGTTCCGATCAATCCAGACCAGTGCAGCTACTTCGTGTTATGTGTTTTGTGTATCCGTGAAGAAATGAAGGAACGTCTAGTGTGCGATAACACATATTTCCTGCTTTGCATATTTTAATTTATTAGTTCAATAAAGAAAGCAATGTTTCCCTTTTTAATCAAATATTCAAATTTCCACTTAGTGTCGCCAAATTCACTTATTTGTTTATTTTTTCAACATCAACAGACTGAATGTAGCCCCAATGAGCTTGAGCTTGAGCTGAATGTAGCCCCAATGACAGATTAACTTAAAATTAAAAGTGAAGGCCACAAACAAACAAAAATTGTGGGGTTGTGTACAAGACACGACCGCATGGTTGACGTAGACTACGTTAAGCTGTGTAACTTCTCGTGCATTTTCCTTTATACTGATTTAAAATACAGTATAAGTAGAAGCAGGAGTAGAAGTGACTTTTTTCATTTAATTTCCAATAAATAGGTGCTTAGTACAACATTAATTGAAAATTAGGGGCAATAATAAAATAATTCAAATTCAAAATCAGAGTAAAATCTCGTATACAGGTTCTCCACCTGTTAAATGTTTTGATAGTAAGCATCATAGTCCGAAGTGAAAATGAGCGGAGGCGTGACAGCACAGTTTCAAGCAGAACGATGCGCAACCAAGTGGTACTTGATTATGACGTCTAGCGTCTGGGTTAGTGAAAACGCCAATTTAATGAAAAAACAGGAAAACAGTGACAAAATTATCACTTTTTAATTGTACATTTTTCCAACAATTTTTTTTTTTCATAGAAAATTGGAAATGTATTTATGTCAGCAGATTCGTAGAGTTATTGTCGGTCACGTTGGACATCGGAAACCCCAGATGTATGACATTCGATTTTACTCTCTTTCTGTACGTTAAATATTAAGATGAAGAGGTGACAATTGGCTTCTTCCTCTTTTATTTCTATCTCTATCTTACGCACATGAAATCGGCCAATCAGAAGCTGGTTCACGTTTGACAGAAAAGTGGTTCATTTTCGCCCGCGTATTATCACCTCTCCCTTAGGTTAAACATAACGTCGGACATAGTGCGATGTATAGCGCATCATCGTGTGAATACTACGCACTATGTCCGACGTTATGTTTAACGTACAAAACGAGAGTAAAATCGATTATCGCGTTGGGTTTTCCAATTTTCAACTGGAACGATAATATTTGCTATCGATTGGTGAACTTGGATTTTAATTTCATCAAAAAATGACAAAGTTATAAGCGATCAAAACCTAACACCTTTTCATGGCGGTTGCAATTTTAGATTTTCGATTAGTCCCTGTACCTTGTCTTATATATAAGCCGTAGTCTACACCGAAAATAGTGTTCATGTAGCTTCCATTGGAAACGCACATGATTTTCATCGCACGGTTCACATAGCCTGAAAAAATTAAGAGATACGCTGGGGGTAACCTGCATAAACGCGAACCATCACTTGACCTTACCGATAATGGTTCAATTGTTTATTATCCCTCCAAAACTATAACTGAAATGGTTATGGAACATGAACGTTTGTGTGATAAAGTTCCATAATACCTTATGTATTATGGTTTTTCGGAAGTGGATCTTACAAATAATGGGTTGTTAAGAACCATTACCATTCCAAATTCATGTTTTCTCGAGTAATTTTCAGAAAAAGGACTATATTAGAACCATTTAATTTATGGATTGAGAACTTTAATGGTAATGGTTATGGTAGTCAGTGAGGTCCATGAATGGTTTTGTAACATCGATCAACTTTATGTGGAATATATCGCAAATTGGTTGCCTGTGAATTAATGATTACCAATTCGCGATATATTCCACGTCCACGTCTGGGATGCACGGATAGAAATCTCCTTATACCTTTTGGCAAATTTCTATTGCTGATTATTCATAAAATGTATAAGTCAACTTATAAGCAGACGCCTTGCAAAAAGTTAATGAAGATCATGTGTCAAATGAAATGTCTAAGCGGTCACAAATACCTTTTATGCATTCTCATAGGACCTATGTGGTTTGCCTTATGGAATGTATAAGGCTGATCTTTTGGCAAAAATGTATAAGTGAAACACATGAATAAAATTATTGATTTTCTTTTCGTGTGGATCTCACCAGAATTTGAGAGAAATGATGATGTGAGTACAAACTAGGTCCGTACAGCCATAGACGTTGAAGGAAGTAACAGTAATCAATCTAACAGATCCGCAAGTATATTTTAATATCACCTGCATACAATAGTCGTGGACCTTCGTATTTATACTATTTACCACTTGTGACCGTATCCGAAACGGTATTTTGACAGCTCGCTCTAATTTGAAAATAATCTAATTTTCGACTAGCAAATTCGACCAAAAACATCCAAACCCCCTCGAAGAACGTCAAACAAATCAGTCTGTCAAAATCTGCCGTGCAGTTTCAACACATCGAAAAAAATCTTCTCTTTACTTTTTCGTCACGGATTCGGGTCCGTCGTCGTTGATTGCTTTTTTTCGAGAGTGCGGTCAGGTGCGTGTGTGTCGCGGTGAAAATAGTGCAAATATCCCGCAAAATACCCTGGAAAAAAACACGTAAAAAACAGGAACCATGTATCGATTGCTAGTGCAGAAGACGTTCCTCAACGGATCGAAGGTAGGTGGTGGGTTTTCAGTGCCCCATACGAAATCGGACGGGCTGCAATTCCCTGCTCAAAGCAAAAGAAAGGTGTTATGTCACTCAATATACACGCAAATAGTATCAGCCAGTCTGAGGGAAATGTCATTATCAATGCCAGCTTCTAATAATGTGCACTTTGACTGCCGCGGGGAACGAAAATAAATTCGGTTACCGTCGACGGTGATAATTTGGGACTACGAGTCAGCTTCGGTGATGTCATATTGGAAGACATATTTTGAGAAAAGCATCATCCAGCAGCCAGTCTTGTTTTGTTTGAAAATGCATTGGGTAGTTTGGTGTGTCACATAATAAGTGGGCAACATACATTGGTACCAAAATGAACGCAGCGATCGTAACAGACCGACGAATATACCCAGCTTTCATCTGGACCTAGCACTAGGATTTTCCGCCGACAAACAGAGTTCTTGTGTCTGCATCTGATGCGATATCCCGGTGAATACCAACCGCTTGCACATAACACTGAGTGTGAATCCAGCTCCACTACGCTGCTGAATCGCAGCATTCAAGATCCAGTTTCGAAACCACGAATTATCACCGACACCGATTAACGCAAAGACAGAGTTTATTCTCAAAGTTACACATTAGATACAGGAGGAAAATCGATGCGACACTTCGACAGCAGCAAGAGGATTCTGTGTCGGAAGATATTAGGTCGTATGAATAAAAGCGTTTACTTTACTTTCCCCGTAAGAAAAGCACGGGAAAGTAAAGTAAACTCTTTTTATTCATACGGCTCATTGTGTGGGTCATATTATAAAGCTACGTAGAGCGCTGAAATGTGTTACATCGAAATACGCCATCAAAAATTGGTGCTTATCAGCCGTGAACAGCCAAAAGCTGCATATTTGCATCCATCGATGTGCTGTATATAATTCGGGTTTGGTGGCCTCATCTGGATCTCGAATACTAAGCTCCATCGTCGATGTGATCAGCAGTGGGAGTAGGTCGGCTACAAAGGGTGGAAACCATATCTGCAAGCAAGGCATGTGCGTGCCTAGAAAATTTGTTTATTATCCAGGTCGAAACTAGTTCCAATCCGTGCGAACCCGAGCTTATTGACTGTGCGAACCTAAACCCGAGCCATGTTACAAAATCAAATGTTCACACTGAGGTTTGACAGACAACAAGCAGAACCAAAGTTCCATGTTGGAACTAGAAATACTCTGAAGATTTCTAGTTTTAACTGAATCAAAAACAAACTCGCTATTGGAACTGAGACCTACGGAATCATGGCGACGCAGCCTTAACAGAGAAATGAAACGGATGATGAACATTATACCTGACCGCTGACCGTATCAAATGTATCATGTATCACTTTATAGATCGGTAATGCGTGGATTACCTGAAAATTCGAACACTACTAGGGCTAGTTTCGATGGTTTGCAAAAGAACAGCTGGCTGTTCAATTCTACAGCGAAATCAGAAAGTTTCGAAATGTTACACGAATACCGGACAATAATTGTGCATCAGTGCTTCGAATCCGGGTGGCACAAACCGGTGAGGAGGTGTCCAAAAAAACAAAAAAAAATAGATAGCATGACCGAGAAGGAATAGAAGCAGCAAAACATTGGTCTAATTAGTGAAAGACTATAGATAACTGAATGGAGCAATTAAGAATGGTTAAAGACCCCTTGACCGATACTGATTTGAACACTTGAGCAGGTTATTCAAGTGTCGACAACTAGCCTATTTGTGCTACATTACCCAAAATGTCGTTACTCAGTATGCCCAGTTCCCCCATTAATTCGAATGAGATTCTGTCTTCAACATTCGGAGTAATGCTGTTCGGGGCTATGCAGCACAATAATTGTTATTCATCTTTTATGGTGGTTTAAAAAACAACTGTTGCATGTGTAAAATTGGAGGGACATTTATTGAACAACACATTGGCGTTCGTTATACGTGTTTAATCATTTGACTTTTACCTTCCATATTCAGCGACAAAATGCCCAACTGCTTCGAAGTCTTAGCACTAGAGGAACCTCCAACATCCCACAGTTCCGCGAAGCCGGTTTCGGTAAAGTGCTGTTTGTGCTGTCGCCGTTTCTCGTTGGCGGTGGAGTAGTGACGTATGCCAAGTGCGTTTTCATTGCAATGCTCGTAGTGGCGATAAGATAACATTTAAAATGCATATCATACACCGTTTGCAGATACGACAATGAGTTCAGGAAAACGCTCATCACCAACGTTCCAGCTTTGGAACCAGTACTAAAGGTGCTCCTGCAGGAGGAAAACCCATTGGCAGAGGTGTCGAAGAAATTGGATGAAATTTCCAGCTCCATCAGTGGTTACACCTCCACCGTTACCGGCTTCTTCACGGGTGGCAAGGAAGAGGAGAAGACGACAGAAAAGAGTAAGTTGACTGTAGATTTGTAACGTGTGGACCTTATTGTTTAATTTTACAGAGGTTGATTTACCACCGGTCACTCGTTCGAAATCGGTCCATGTACCTGTTCCATCTCCTCCGCTTTTTAAACCGGAACCTACTACAGAGAAGGTCAAAGCTTCAGAAGCTGTTGCCGTTGCTACAACGAAGCCAGCTGCTGCCGCTCCTATTTCCGCTCCAACCCCGAAACCTGCGCCAGCAAAGGTAGCGGCACCGGCAGTTTCAAAACCAGTTGCCTCTAAAACTGCTGAAGAAGTACCTAGATCGATCAGTGACCTAGAGCGCCAGATCGATGTGGCAGCTGCAACGGCCATCAAGGAATACGGAAAGGCCGTACAGGTGCTGAAAGAGTACACCAATGAAGTCAAAAAGGTGGTCGATGAGTCCGTCGACAAGCTCGATACTTCAAGTTGGGTGCTGTTGCGTAATCGAACCAGCGCAAGAGATACTGCTCTAAAAGCAGCAGAGGATGCCGCCGACGATGCCCGCGAGAATATCGAAAAGCTACATCGCTTGTTGGATAGTCGAGAGATCAAATGTTCCGATGAACTGAAGGGAAAGGCTCGTGAGAACATCGCCGCCTATCTGGAACACCTGAAGAAAGCTAAAGAGGATGTGTACAAGGCACGAAACCTCGCCAACTTAGGAGAAAAATACTGGAAGAAGGTCGAAGCGGCGCGAAACTTCTTCATCGATGAAATCCAGTCCCTTTTCCCGGGCATAAACCTGGCAGAGAAGAAGATGGACATGTCGAAGGAAGATTTGGATTTGTTCATCATACATGCCTTCACTCAGGTGGTAGCTCATCAAAAGGAACTGCAAAAGCTGCAAATCGAGGGAGACCAACAGTTGAAGCGTGCTCTTGAAGCGGTGCGGGGCACCGATCAGAGCGAAGCTGTCAAGGCCCAGTTGGAGTATGAGACTGCTAAGGAAAGACGGGAATTGAACCTGCAGAACCAAAAGAAGGTAAGGATTTCTTACGATGCTTTAGGAAAACGAATTTTAATCAATGCTTGCTGCAGCTTCTTGCTATTCGAGCGGACCTGGAGCGCAACCTGCGCAACCAGATGAAGCGTCAGTCGGAGGCGCACACTGACCACCTCACCGATGCCCTCGCCCAAAAGGAAGTTGAAATGAAGCGAAAGTTCCAACGTGAGTTGGACGAGAAGATAACCACGGAGCAAGCAGCCTACAAACTGCAGCTGGCTGCCATGCTCGGCAAACTCAAAGGAATGGATGCCGCCCTGAAAGGTAACGTCGGTCTTTCTTGATCTTTCATTGTTTGCTTGTACAATCATTGCGGTTACTTGTAAAACATACATGTGTTTGCTACTAATATGTGCTCTTGTCTTTCTTTTGTGTGTTTCCCGTTTCCTTTCACCAAAAAACGACTTTCATCACCAACAAAACCACACTTCCATTTTCCCCTCATCACATGCTAACACAAACTCCAGAGATCGATGATGATATGAAAGGTACTTTGTTTACCATCCTACCGTGTTGTTTTATACAATTATTGAAGTCTGAGCTAAGCTCTTGTTGTTAATACTGTCAATTCATATCCTAACAGGACGCGCAGATGCCGAAAAGAGCGCACACCAGGCACAAGCCCTCTGGGGAGCTTGCCAGTCGCTGTGGTCTTCGATTCGTAGTGGTCAACCGGGAAAATCTTGGCGCGAACAGCTGCGACCTCTGAAGGATGAAATCAGTGCTGTAGCACGTGCTGCCGAAGGTGACGAATTGGTCGGTGTAGTGCTCACAGCACTTCCGGAAGCAGCAAAGAATCGTGGCGTGTATCCAGAGGATGCCTTGCGAGAGCGTTTCATTAAAGTGGAACAAGTATCCCGTCGGCTGGCTCTGGTTCCAGCTGAAGGTGCACGTCTGCCGATGTACTTCCTATCGTTCCTGCAGGGTGCTCTGATTGCCAAACCAGATGTTCCGATTTCCAAAGACGAACTGGAAAACAAGCCATTCGATTTCAGCAAGCTAGACACGTACGATATTCTGAACCGTGCCCGCTACTGGTTGGATCGGGGAGATCTGGTCAAGACGGTGCAGTACATGAACCTACTGCAGGGTGCTTCAAGAAAGGCCGCCATGGATTGGCTAAACGAAGCTCGTTTGCTGTTGGAAACACAACAAGCTGCCAGCACTCTAATGGCTCATGCAGCCTCCAGTGGTGTTCGTTTTCTCTAAAAAAAAAGCCATCCTTTGTGTTATTCTAAGTGTCCACACCCAACCAACACCGTTTCCAGTTCGTGTTGTCGTAAGAATGTAAAGTCTATCAAAAAACCTCGACCCGGTAAGTGACCGCGAAGTCAACGATTATGTTTTAATTTTTCAACGTTTAACGACATTTAGCTGTTGAAGTTCTCCATTCTGTGTAGTCAGAATGGAGCACAAATTCAAGTATTGCGCACCGAAATTTGAAAGTGTTTATTGGCATTTCGAGCAAACGAAACGTATAAGGAACAGCAGATAAAAATGGCTTATTTAGTTTGGTGCTTCTCTGTAGCGAAGAGAGTTCTTGGTGAAAACCGTTAGATTTGGTAAAACAACAGATGTCCAGATGAAATCAACTGAAAGCAATTAATTTCAAAATTTAGAAAGGAAAAATGTACTCTAAGGCAGTTTAAGTTAATACACAACCATAAATCGAAATCCTGCGATGTGTTGTATTATGATTCCATTAATATCACAGAATCACGTCGTTTCCAACTGCTACATAGTTCCTGACACCTTCTCAGTATAGTCATTATATATAGTCTTGCGGATACTAAACCCTGTGAACTGGCAACTTTGCAGGACGTTTTTGTTTTACAAAGCATGATTTTTTATCCTCGCAGTATCAATAGCAATGCTAACAGTTATTTGCGGAATAGTAGGAAATATTTGCAAAGAATATCGATCAACTTGCACTTTTTATCGCATACTTCAGTGCATGCTCCTTATTGCAATTATATCCGCATATAAATTTATCAACAATTATAATGTTTGCCGTTTATTTATGTGGATGTTCCTCGCGACAACAAATATTTCATTCAGAACCGCATTGATAAATTATCAACTATTTTGATTTCATTTTTGTTCGATCTAATTATCGTCACGATTTCAATACTACCACCACAGACAAACAGACATAACTCTCGCAAATAGTTCATCGAACAAGCATTTAACGGACAATATAAAAGTATCGTAGTTGGTAGTACCGCCACCTGTGGCGCGCATAGGCAATTCCCTTGCGTTTGACGTTTAGACACTACCGCCATCTGTTCAGCGCAGTGCCCACCGCAGTGTACTCAACAGATGGCGGTAATGTTTTAGCGACGATGTTTTACAGTGAGAAATATTCAATGCGTTATGTCTGTTTGTCTGTGCTACCACCAACCGGTGAGCACTCGTGTTTATTTCAGTTACCATGGGGACGTAATTTGTGATTAGCCCCGGTCCCTTTCAAATTGTATCATTATTTATTCTTCTTTCCTTTATTTAACGTCGGTCTCTGTTCCGCAATCTAGTGCCAATCACCGACGGACATCGATTTCCATCCATTGACGGCAACCGAATGTGCAGGAAGGCAGCTTCCACACCTGCGTAGGATATCGCACCCATTCACAACACACATGGGCCGGGACCAACGGCTTTACTTCCCTTCCGAAGGAAGACGTGACCAGAGATTTGTATGCCTCAGAAAAATCCCACCGACCTCGGCTGGGATTGAACCCAGACCCATTGGGGTGTTGAAAGCAGTCAAGCTTACCACTACACCACCGGCACCGGCTTATCATTATTTCAGTGCCAACATTTCAAAGGGGCGTAATTGCATTTGTAAACAATGGCTTTAGCCGTTGATTTCTCGCAAATAAAAGCTCACTCATGAAAATTGATTGCACCAACAAGTAGAGGAATGTTTCCTCTTCCAGCTAGCATTGTTAATTTGGAGGAGTGAGCTTTTATTTGCGAGAAATCGACGGCTAAAGCCTTTGTTTACAAAAGCAATTACGCCTCTTTGAAATGTTGGCACTGATTTATGTACCGATGTTGGCACCGATTTTAAAATATTTGTAATCGGTAATGTAAGCATTAACTTCTCCAGAGGATAATCACCAATCGTTTCAAACATATGCTGCACTCTCATTGGTGGAAAAATGACAGCACAGCGAACAAAAAATAATCGATTAGATGTTAATCAAATAATTTAAAAAATGGGACATCTCTGATTTTGGTGTGATTGTTTGATAAAAAAGAGCGCAAAATGTTATCTCTACCGAGGGGGCACCAAAACCACAAAATTACCTTGCATACGGAGGGTATTCATTGGATGAAAGGGACGGTGAAAGAGGACACTAAAATAGAAAGTTTTTCTTCCGACTGTTTCATCTTAGTATTCGTCTTTGGAGGAAGTACACTGATAAATTCTGAATTCTAAATAGTTACCAGTTTAAAGTGTAATGTTTCTAATGAATGTTTTCTTAATAATCATGAATACCATAATTAATCAAAAAGCCTCGCATATAATACAATCAAATCTTAGAATGCAAAAAGCTCATTTGGAAAAGAGTGCCGGTCTTACCCCGTACTGTTAAAGGTACGCCAATTTGTGTCACTTTTTTTTATATATAAACAGTAATTAGCAACATAACCTTCATACCTTGGCGCGACACAATTTCTATTCAAAACTGTATAGACATAGACTCTGCATTGGAAAGATAACCAAATTAGCTCTCTATTATTTTAAAATAGTTTTAAGGCTTAAGGGGCCGAGCACCCGCAGTTTCCCTATACCGACTACAGACCTTTTATAACGGCCCAGTTAGTTAGTTCAGAGTCGCTCCTCACTAACATTGCTGTAGCCGCTGGCATATTCCGAGTCAAATCATAACCACCTTGTTAAAAGATGCCAAAGGACAGGCCCCATCTGCTGCTGTAGTCAAACAGAAGGGGAAAATTAAGGGAAATATTGAAATATGAAATAAAACTTTAAAAAAATTTTGCGTCGATATGCTCATCAATATATTTGTCGTCAATATTTGCATCAATATTAAATTTTGAGTATTGACAATATATTTGCCAGTGTGGTGCCTGCTCGCCAAAATGTTGCAAATCTGCTTGCTCACGCGCTTATGGGCGAGCATGTGTAACGTAAACGGTCTACACTGATTGACGACAAATAAATAAAATAAAAATAAATAAATAAAATAAAAATAAATTTAAAGTATGAACGACTGTCACCCCAAAACTGAAAAAAAAAACTGTTCCAATCAAGGGGGGAGGTGGCTGTCAAATACGAACAATCGTCGCCTACCTCGCATAACTGGTTCCAAACGTAAACAAGCCATAAGAAACCTACAGGGTTTGTTTACGTTTGGAACCAATTTCATACAAGAATGATCAGTAGGCTGATTCGACAGCACGTCCTCCCCAGGCTCCAATCGAGCAAATTTGGTTCGATTGGAACAACTTTTGACAGACGTCCATACTTTTACGCTTTTACTGTACACAGAAGCCGCAAAATACGCAAAAATGACTATAATGGACTCAATTTTGACTATAAAGTATGCATATTCGGCTAAAACGGGACTACACCTAAAATGTGTGTATTTCTAAACCTTCAATGAGTATCTGTTACTCAACAATGACATAAAATTTATTCATTTTTGTACTAGCAATTACTCATAAATGTGTAACATTTTAGTCATTTTAAGGGTAGTCTCGTTTTCTTTCAAAACTGTGTACTTATAGTGGTAAAAGAGTTTTTTTTTTTCGATTACCGTGTATATCCGGAGAACTTTGAGATTTGGACGTAATTGCTTTTGTAAACAAACACGTCTATCGCCGATTAATCGTAAATTGAAACTTATTATCGCGAACAAACCATACTAAATGATAAAGGAATCATTTCTCTACCTGTTTGTGCCGTTAATTTTTTTAGATTGAGCTTTAATTTGCGAGAAATTGGCGATTGACGTGTTTGTTTACAAAAGCAATTACGCCCTAATCTCAAAGTTCTCCGGATATGGCTTTGTCTAACGGGGGGACATCGTTCTGGGATCGGCCTATTTTACCGAATTTACCTGAGTTCGCCATCATTTTAAGTAAAACGTCAAAACCAAAAGTCTGTTGTTTTTGTTCGTTTATACTCACCACAGACTACACGAACTATTTTTTTTTCTCTGTATGCAGACTGCAAATAATCTCTAGTAGAAGGTTACAAGCAAAATTATTTTGCTTAAATTTCCTTATCACTATTGTGATAAGAACCTTGTTTTCTCCCTGTCCATCAGTTCAAGGAGCTTTATTATCATCGCCTGGATAATTTGGTTCACTTCTCAATCAGTATGGACACAGGTGAGTTGGAATTTATTTTTAGCTCACAGTTACAACTATTCACTTAAGTGGGTCAGATTAGAATAAAGAGAAATGTTGCGAGTTTACAAGGCATGTGGAATAACAAATATCAGCCCAAAAAATACAATAATTGTTAGCAAATCACTGTTTCGAGTATCGCTGTACTAACTTTCACTTTTGTCTCCCTCCTTATCGTCCTTATGTGGCGTAACGCAGCCCGTACCCGAGGCGATGGAATGGAAAATGAAGCACTAGCTATTTCAGCGACAGTACAACAACAACAGCGTAAGTCTTCCGATACTCACAGTGTTAGTGGCGAGATAAAGCTACCATCCGACTTCGAACTACAACGATTGCTACCTCATTCCGGTTCGAATCCGGTGTATCGTCCTACGGAACTTGTCGCAGTTGGTAATGCTTCTCTGCCGCCGACTGTTCCGAAGGGAAAAATTTTCAATCTAGTTCCTAAGCTAGTACACACTAATAGAACCAGCAGCGGTTTGAAGAGTAAGGAACCAAAGTTTGTACCCTTTGAGCCATACAAAGGAGCAGTCAATCCCATTATCCCCTTTAAGAATAACGAAAACCGAGTGAAGCTCAGTGATAGAAATAATTTGGATTTGAACGTTTTGGTCTCACAGATGTCCACCATAACGAGCAAAGAGCTAAGAGGGATGGAGGTGGACAAACAGGAATTTGACGCGGAAAAGCAAAAGTATCAGAAGCAGATTGATGAACTGAAGAAGGAGCGAGATTACTATCAGAGTCAGTTAAAGTTTCAAGCTCAAGTGAACTCGGAATTGAAGAACCTTTTAGTTGCCGCTGTGGGAGAAGACCTCCAGACAAAGGTCAACGTTTTGACCGAGGATAAACTGCACTTGGCCAGAAAGTTGCTAAACTCGGCGGAAAACCTGTCGTCCCATACTGAACAAATTGAATTTCTAGCTGGTCAAAGCGAAGTTTGGCGAAGCAAATTTCTGGCTAGCAGTTTGATGGTGGAGGAGCTTGCCCGGTGGAAAACTAGTTTACTGCAGAAAAATCGTATGCTGCTTGCTTCCAACAAAGAAATGCTCGAAACCACTTCCAAGCTGCGTGAGATGCAACTTGATATTCTCGGGAACTTGAAATTCCTTTCGAACCAGAAGGACATCTCGCTACAATCGGCCAACGTGTTGGATCTGACCGCTGAAAGTGTCAACATTTCACAGCAACTAGTGTTGGCCCATTCAGCACTTGGAATGCCTGACTCCCTAGAGCTAACCGGATTGGATCCAGTGTGTCCTGCAGAGAAGTTGGCCGTGCAGGCTTTGCAAAATTCCAACGAGCCATTGATGAACACAGACGAAGCGTTTAGGGCCATCGTCGGACAAGCATTTCCATCGATTCACACGATGAAACAACAGGCGATGGAACCGCCTCAGGCAGGAGATTTTGTGCTGGTCGAGGATGTTGGGACGGAGGAGCAGCAAAAACATAAACATTGAATAAGGTAGGTGCTACAAATGTTATTTCAAACGACGCTGTGTCTATTTTTTACGTTGGTAGATAGACACACTTGTTTGGGCAATACAAGAATAAATCGAACGCATTTGTGAGAGGCAAGACCTAAAATCCATTGCTTTTATCGCATAATAATACAACTTGGATGCAATCAATTTTTAACATAAATTAGTGGAGAATAAACTTGAAGGAGGTTTTTTTACCATCTGTGAGATGGAGTTGGTGCACATTTCGAAAGAACATTCCTTCTGCACTACCTAATGGTATGTATACAAGTAATTTATTGTTACGTTAAACGTAAGCCTGACCTGGCCTGGGGTGAAGGATCCTGTATCAGGAGACACACAACAACAAAGGATGGGGAATTTATGCATGAGGCTGTTTTGTTTGAACATGATATAAAAAGATACGGGCTCAACCGGGATTTGAACCCGGGACCTCTCGCACCCAAAGCGAGAATCATACCCCTAGACCATTGAGCCACATGTTTGAAAGTGAATTCTTTGCTATAATCAATGGTGCATCTATCACGTAAACAAAATCATGGTTATATTTGGAGTCTCAAAACGATATTATTTACAGGAAAACACTTTAACACTCCGAACACGATGCCTCCGGTAAAATATGTAACGGAAAATTTGCTATAATCAAAATCAATAATCATAATTCAGCCATTTATTGACGAATTTCAAATCTATTGATTGCTGAGCAATGACTTTTCAAACAATGCCAATTAACCGTTACACATTTTACCGGAGGCATCGTGTTTGGAGTGTTAGCATACATATTTTTAATTATTTACCCCTGCCAAAAATGGTTCCCTTAGGAATGAGCGTGTAGTGTAGCTTACCGAACACATTTTATCAAAAATGTGTATAGTTTTTGATCGGCAAAGTAAAATATTATTTGTCAGAAGTGGGATTTGAACCCACGCCCTCAGAGAGGACCAGAACGCTCGTGACCTTGTCTAACCTAATTATAGCGCGGTATTTGTGTGTTAAAGATTATCGTTGGAATTGAACTCGCTCACACATAACCGCTTAGGCAAGATTTTACTCTTGAGTCTGGCGCCTTAGACCGCTCGGCCATCCTGACATGTGTTAATCCTACCAACATTCCGTCAATGTTCAACTGTACATAGTCTTGTGACGTGAACACATAGGTATTACGAAAATGTTCATCAAAAGAAAAATGTTAGTTTATAAGCCAAAAAATATACATTTTATTTTAATAAAGACTCAACATAAAGAATTTAATTCCCTCACATATTTTCACCTAAACCTAGTAAATGCGCTTGGAGGTTACCACCTATCCCGCCGAACCGCTTGACCTACTGTCGTCTATAGGACTACAGGTTAGCTTTCATTTCATCTTCAAATACCAACTCATCGCCATCTGGAAGCGGACCAAAGAATCGATCAACCTGTTTATCGGTCACGTCACTCAGCTTCGCTGGATTCCACTTTGGACTCTGATCGCGATCGATCAGCATTGCACGAACACCTTCCTTAAAATCGCTTCCAATGACGCTATGCACTGCCATCCGGAATTCCATCTTCAAACAGCTTCGCAGATCGCAGTTCAGTCCAAGATCCAGTTGCTTCTTGGTGATCTTCATTGAAGTTGGAGACATTTTATTCAGGGTATTCAGCGTGCTGTGAGCCCAATCGCTTCCGTCCTTCTCCAGGTTCGCTATGATCTGTTCAATCGTTGTTGCACTGAAGCACTCGTTGATCTGCTTAATGTTCTTTGCCAGTACAAACTCTGCATTGTCTTTAACGTTAAATTTGCTCAAAACGTTATTGACTTCTGAGCTATTACTGGTAGCAAACAATTCTTTCTCCAGGGCTTCAAGATCTTTACTTTCCACATAGTGAGTTGCAATACCAGCTTTCGTAACATCCTTACCCTTCAAACGGAACCCGGTTAGTCCAAGGTAAAGTCCCAGCTTGCCTTGCAATCTGGGCAAAAAATGTCCACCTCCGACATCCGGGAATAGTCCAATTGCAGTTTCCGGCATGGCAAACATGGTTCGCTCGGTGGCTACTCGGTATTTACCATGGACGGACAACCCGACGCCACCGCCCATAGTAATTCCATCCACAATGGCCACGTAATCCGGCTTGCAGGCACTAATCAATGCATTCAACCTGTACTCTTCCCGGAAAAAGTTCCTCGAAGACTCAATTGGACCATTCTCGACAACCGCTCGTACATCACCACCAGCGCAGAATGATTTCTCCCCGGTTCCTTTGATAACGATCAGACTTTTGTTGTCTTGCCAACCCTTCATCGCTCCGTAGACTTGGCGAACCATATCCAGGTTGATTGCATTCAAGGCCTTCGGCCGACTCAAAGTGATCAGACCGGCGCTTTTGCCGACCTCCTCACAAATGACCGTTCGTTCTGCACCGGTTGAAAACATGGCTCGCACGGCTAGTGGGACGTTTCTCTGGACAGTGCGGAGAAGCTGCAATGAGAGATATGTTAATCAGGCGGCATAAGTTGAAGATATCTTTTCGTGTAAATAAATACCATGGTTCCGATTTTTGTTACGAGCCTTAGGTATGAGGGGTGCAAGTAATGACCGTAGCCCAGATGTTATGCGATTATGCAATCGAACCTGACAGGTAACAAACCTTTACTGCGTTGAACTTGTATTGCTACAGCAGATAGTGAGCACTGAAAGGGAACACTCAACAAGTGCTGATCAGACTTCGTGCTGTTGACAACTAAGACAGATTCGAATTAATTTAATTAAGCTGCTAATCGACTAATAGGTTGCGCGGCCTGCGGATATCACTAAACATTGTATGCTACGGTCAACTGTCAACATTCGATTCGAAGTGTGGTGAATAAGGTGGTGAGTTTCGTTGAGCGGCGCTTTTGGCAACGCATCGTGTTTACCTCCGCCATCGCCTTCAGTATTCAGTCAAAATCGTAAGCAAAACGTTCCCGTTTTACAAACGACGCGCGTGCACTCGGTTTGGATTCCCGATCGTTGAACAATAATTCGAAGAACAATCAGTAACTATTCCATACGTTTCGCACAATGTCCGACGACGAAGAGCTAGTGTATGTAAAGCGACCGAAAACGATCCACTATGGTTCGCTGGAAGATACGGAGCGGATGCGCCAGCTCAAGGACTCCGGCTCCGATCTGTATGGAGGACCCGGCAGTTCCAGCGACATCGGTCAGATTTACACGTCCAGTGAATATTTCGATCTCGAAAACGAAGTATCCAAGGACAAAGCGGCCCTGCTGGAGGAGTTCGAACGGAAGAAAAAAGCCCGTCAGATTCACGTCAGTACGGACGACGCCGAAGTGAAGAAGAACCTTCGGGCGTTAAACGAACCGATATGCTACTTTGGAGAAGGCCCGGCAGAACGGCGAATCCGTTTGAAGGAGCTGCTCTCATCACTTGGCGAAAGTGCCATTCCGCAGAAGAGTGCCAAGGATGAGGATAAAAAACAGCAAGTACAAAAGGAACAGGAATCTACCTGGTATCACGAGGGTCCAGAATCGCTTAGGATCGCAAGAGTATGGTTGGCGAACTACTCTCTCCCACGGGCCAAGAATCGTTTGGAGGAAGCTGGTGAACAGTTGCAGCTTCCGAGTGCCACCAAAGCCGGTCGAATGGTTGAGCTACAGAAGCGGATTCAATCGTTGGCGCCACAGTGCAGCCAAGTTGGTGATGTTCGACCGATCACGAATTGCAGCTTCAATCACGATTCAAGCCTATTGTTGACGTCGAGTTTGAGTTCCATGTGCAAGGTGTGGTCGGTTCCGGATTGTAACCTGGTGCAAACGTTGAGAGGTCATGAGTTCTACGTGAGTGCAATTGCATTCCGGAATGGAATTCCAACTGATTCGAAGGGTGAAGTCGCCATGGCATCCGGTTGTTACGATGGAACTGTTAAGTTATGGTCTTTCGACAGCGAGGAAGCTATAGCGGACATAACCGGTCATGTACCTCATCGGGTGTCACGTTTGGCCTTTCATCCTTCGGGACGATTTTTGGGTACGGCATGTTACGATTCCTCTTGGCGGCTGTGGGACTTGGAGCAGAAGCAAGAAGTATTACATCAAGAAGGGCATGCCAAAGCCGTGCACTGCATTGCATTTCAGGGCGATGGAAGTGTCTGCGTCACAGGCGGCTTGGATGCATTCGGGCGGGTGTGGGATCTTCGAACCGGACGTTGTATCATGTTCCTAGAGGGGCACCTCAGTGCCATCTACGGTGTTGACTTTTCACCCAATGGATATCACATTGCAACGGGAAGTCAGGATAACTCCTGCAAGATCTGGGACCTGAGAAGACGGCATCCGGTATACACGATTCCGGCGCATACGAACCTGATATCTGACGTCAAGTATCAGAAGAACGGAGGGCATTTTTTGGTGACGTCTAGCTATGACAATACGGCCAAGATCTGGTCCAACAAGACGTGGCAACCACTGAAGACCCTTTCCGGACACGACAGCAAGGTGATGAGCGTGGATATTTCGCCGAACTCACAGCACATAGCTACCACCTCGTATGACCGTACGTTCAAGTTGTGGAGCCCTGAATGAGTTATAATTTGGAGAATACATTTTCGTTTGGTAGTTAACATGTTGACTTTACTAATGTAGTGAATATCACTTCCTTCGAGTATCACAGCAATACATTGTAATACACAGTACAAAAGTATTATTACATGTTTCTGAGTAATTCAAAATCTCCAGTAATGCCTAAATTACACTACATCAAACTTAGGAACCAGCTAGAATGTTCAAGAATAATCATAACCATTTAGATTATTTTTCTGGAGTAAATATTTACTGGGTAATTGAACAACTGAAAAGTGGGTATACTATAAATAACAGTTACAAGCTATAAAATAAATAATAATAATCATAATCATCAATCAATTTAAAGAATAACATTTGACATAATTTGTTTGGTTGTAATTAGCTGTTCAAAACCCGATTAAAAATTATCGAACAGGGCAGCGTTGTTTAAGCGTGTAGTTTTTTAGACACTGAGCTTTCTTACGCGGAACGTTTTTAACGTTTTTCCAATCACATACCTATCTGATTTGGGTCAAAACTAATCAAATTGCGTATACACAAAAAATCGTAATTTTAGTATAAATCCAAATTGAAAAAAGTGAATAAAATGAGTTAACAAAATCCAAACATATAAAATGTTTAATCATGTTAATTTATCAATCTATTTATTTATTTATTTGTCGTCAATCAGTGTAGACCTTTGCATTTAGGAATAATTAATTAATTCGAGCAAATTTGTAGTTGTTGAACGGCCTTTAAAGAAGCCATGTTGCATAGTAGTTATTCTGTTTTTAATTTGAAGAAAGAGTTTTTCATTTACAATCGCCTCGAAAAGTTTCGGAATGCAAGAGATAATAGCTATACCACGATAATTACGTATGTCGGATTTTTTACCTGATTTAAAGATGGGCACTAAAAACGAGTTTTTCCATATTTTAGTTAAGTTTCCGGATTCCAGTGATATATTGAAAATCCAAAATAATGGAGCAGTAAGTTCAATTGCTAAAGTTTTCATAAAAACTGGCGGAACACCGTCAGGGCCAGGACCTTTAGATGTATCTAAATTGTTTAAACCCTTTAAGATATCATGAACCTTGATTTCACTTACGCTGATGTCACTTGAAAATTCTGGATAAGATTCAAAATATTCACGGTCACGGTCCTCTTCTGAAAACGTAGTATAGATTTCGGTTGGTTGGTTTTACGCGGTGTATTATTCTTGACACATTTTTACAAAATTAGCTTTTGTGTCTTTTGGCAATTTAATGCTTATTAAATGACACAAAAGCTTCTGATGCTAAACTAAATACAGAAAATAAAGGAACAATGTTCCTTCAACCATGTAACAAAATTCAATTTATTCTTGTTAGTTTTTAAGATATGGGAAGATGCATAAATGGCATTCGGTTTTAGGGTGACCAGCCATGTAGAAAAATACACTACAAGGAAGAGATAAAGACCTCTAGTTAAAGTATGGACGACTGTCACCACAAAACTGAAAAAAGCTGTTCCAATCGAGCAAAGCGGTGCATTTTGACGGTTCGATTGGAACAACTTTTGACAGACGTCCATACTTTTACTGTAGGGCTTTAGGGAGAGAGGGACCAAAGTTGGTGCTTAATTAATCGTACACAAACTTCAACCGTTTCTTTATGTTTTAATGGGCCACCAACTTTGGCACCCCTAGCGTATTTGATTACATGATACTACATGATTGGTCACCATAAAGTGCTACGTCATTAATTTATGCATCTGCAACAGTGATTTGCTTAATGATAAACTTGACATTTTGTCTGCTCTCCAACATTCGTTGCATATTGAACTCAGAACCTGTCACCGAAATCTGTAAAACAGCAGCATCTGTCGGTGTGGAAACGGTTACGATGACATCGATCACGCAGTTTGGCAATGTACGGATAATGACGCCGCCAGAGAGCGACTTTTGAATACCCTCGAGGCCCAAGGAAGACAACCCTATATTCCTATCAGAGACGTGTTGAATACACGCGATCTCTACTATATGCGGTCCATTTATGTGTTTCTGCAAATGTCTAGTATAATAATTTAATTCGTTTGTCTTTTGTATCTCTTTATTAGTTTTTGTTTCTCTCGTCCCCCGTCTCGATGAGTCTCATCGTCGCCCACTGGTCACCATAGCCGGTTGAACTCCAGACGAATCTAGAACCACACTCAGGGCTGGCAAATGTAATTCTCAATGAAAGATCTCACGCGATATTTACAGAGATATTGCGCGTTTCACACCAAAATGGACAAATAAGCGCGTTTTCACTAATTAAAAAGTGTGATAAAACTGAAAGTTTACTTCTAATCGTCTTGGTGTCTTCGGTGCACTTATTCCTTATGATGCAATAAGTGCTCCGAAGACATCAAAACGATTTGACGGAAACGTGCACTTTTATCACACTTTTAGCATTTTTGGGACAGTTCAGTTTCAGATGCAATCAGCAATACTTCTGTCACTATCATTGGATGAGAAAACGATGATAGAGATTTTCTTCAAAATCTCATCGAATTTTTTGTCATGACAGAACGTAACAGTGTAGCTCATTTAATGCTATTAAAGTTACTTGTACCGAGGGAATCTTAATAATATATTCACTCCACCGATTACATACGGATGTTTGCTTAAATTCATCTAAATCAGTTAGAAATGTTGATGGCAAAACCGCATAAGAATTATTCTCATGAGCAGTGTTGGAAAAGTTCGCGATATTTCATGAAGTTCACCAAGGGAAAAGTTCGTGAGTCATAGTGAGTTTTCGCGAACTTTTCCATCACTGCTCATGAGTGCTGACAAGAAAGCTAATGATAAGTATTTTCGTCTCGTGATGGTGAGAGGATCTGTTTTCTCATCGTCACATGACGGTCGTTATATTTACCAGCTCTGACACACTCCACACTACCGTTCATACTGGCGACATCACTCTGATGAGACAACGAAACCCTACCCCAAAGCTCCTCCCCTTTTCCTATCCTTCGACAATGTATCCCTCTTACCTCGGGTAAGCCGCGAGTATTCGGCTTAACTCCTAGACATAGAATTAAGTGAATCCTGTTGCAAACAAAGAACAATGAATTATCGGCTCCGTAAAGCTAAGCGATTGAGCCTTACATATAAACGAACTAGATAAAACAATCTGGAAACATTATTCTAAGTTCCTGCCTGATAAAGATGAACAGGAATAGAACAATATTTATAATAGATTTTTTTATTTTTCAAAATCGTTGCGGTTCGCACTAAATGACATCGTACGCCGTACGATGGGCAGGCATCAGTATAAGTAGCGCTTTCCTCATTTATGCCAAACGGAAGTCATACCGATTGGGCATGATGCCAAAGGGGGTACTAGCGAATTTAATAAGTACTACTATTAAGTATTCCGTTCAAAACGGATTTTTAAGCAACATTTTTTTTTTTGTATTCGAAATCCATTTTGAACGGAATAGAGAATAGGGATAAAAATCTTTTTTTAACTAGTCCGTTTATTTACTAGGCTCAGTCGTGCGTGACACTTTGCGGTAAAAATCTTGCCAGTTGGATTAATTCTTGATATAGAAAGCAAAGAATGTTGAAAGTGTAGGGGTTCGGTCATAATCGACCAACGGCTCCAAACTTGTCATTGGAAGGAACGTAATACTCATATATTCTCATTTTGCTTAAAATTTAATCAATTTGACATTAAACTCAGTTTCATCATATCGAATGATTGAAAATCAATTGTCTCTTGCTAAAAAATAATCATCTGATATTAAAACAAGTTTAATCACGGTTGAATAAATTAAAAGTCATCTTGTTTGAATACATTTTTGAATAATTTGTTTTTTTTTTTTGGTAATCACAGTGGCAGCTACTTGCTAGAACTCTACACTGGATCCCTTTTATTGATAAATTTTGCTTCTATGAGCCTCTATTTTAAATCAACACACAGACGTTCCTAGGCCCGTTTGGTCACTGTTGTTTTTGTGCTGATCCAAATAGTTTTGATAATATAATTGCGCATTCTTGTTTTTTTAAAAGGTTGATTTTCGTCCCAGTCTTGTCTTCTGTCGTCACTTATTTTGTAATTTTGTCTTGTGTATTAACCCCCACTTGTCTTGTTTATTGTGTCAACTTGTGTCTATTGTCCTTCCCCATCTGTTACTCTGTCATGACTAATTTCATTGATATATAAAAATAGTAATATCAATTACAGGATAATATGGTTATTTCTCGATTACTTTTTCAAAGGGAAGCACCAGCTCCTGCAAACAATGCATCCGATCGTCGAATCCAGCTCGCACACGCTTATCAACACCACCAGCAGGTAGAGGAAAATTTCCCCTATCTGATGATAGTGCCAGCCCGCGTGGGCGAGCCACCAGTTAAGCCAAATCGACGACCAAACGCACCGCCTACAAAAGCCGATACGCTCCCTTGAAAAAGTTATCGAGATTTCTACTAATTAATGAATTATTGACAATTACCTCTCATGATCCTTGGCTCTGATTTTAACTTACCACTTTTTGATTATTTATCAAATATCTCTCCCAGAATATATAACTCCCCGATGCCTTGTTGGTCTCTGGTCTCATTTGGATTGGTCCTGAATTTGTTTGATATCCTGTTCGAAGTAATTCTTTGAGTTCCAGCTTGTACGTGTCTCACGTCATATGATTCGCCATTCATAAAGATAATGGGTTAAAAGGGAGTAAAACATACATAAAGGTAGATTAGTATTAGTTGTATTAGTTGATTAACAATAGAAAGAAGCATAGATGAACTAATATATAACTAAAAGTGCAATGGATAAGTGTTAGTTCCGGGATCATTTTAGTGTTAGTAGTTATGTTAGTTTTGATCCGTATTCAGCCCTGCCGGCCCCTCCAGCACTATTTGCAGCAATTGTGATAAGATTATGCGACACTCCTACTACTACTATGTTAGATGTATGACTTGTCAATTTTCGCAACGCAATGTCTTTCAATAAATCACTCAATCAATTTGATGTTTGAAAATTTGCTCAAAAGGGCTTTGTTGACACATCATACCTTACCGAAAACTAAAGCACAACAATCCTAATTCTTATTTCAAACCTATCAACATATTTAACACATCTTTCCTAAAACTTCACTTGTTCGTAAGCGCCTGGTTGAAGATATGACTTTCGCTATTGACATTGTCTGTAATTAACAAATACACTAAATAGGAAGATTTATTATACAACTTCATAGGCTAGTCGCCTCCCTAAGCGGACCCCCCGCGTCCTATCTCTTATGTTAATTAACTTTCTGAATTCTATAATTGAAGTTTATTTAATAAATAACTGAAATCTCTAATCTACCTATACAATCATAACCCATGCTTTTAAACTACAATTTAACGTGTTTCAAGTACTTCTGGCTTTTACATATATTAATAATATCTTTGTTCGTCCCAGATGACACCTTCAAGTGACTAAAATGCTTCACTTTGAAGTTAGTTTCCAAGCTAATTTTAAATTGTATATTGTATAGGGTAAATGTTCCAACTACGCTCTCACGCTTCCACTATGTGGCACCACAAAAATACACATGGGTATGTCACAATAGAAGCACAACACAGTGGAAATCCCGAGCCGCAGTTCAAACACTTATCCCAAATCAAAATGAAGCACATATAAGATTAGTTACAATACCATGTACAAAAATGATGTTTAACATTGTTTCCTGAGTAATACTTCAATGTAAACAACAATGAAAGCTTGTCACGCAAATATAAGGAGCACTGTTGGGCACTTTCTGAAATATTTCAATAGTATAATTCCCTTTCAAACCCAAATGAATCTATCTGCGTAAAAATAAATAAAATAAGAGTGATTTGCGGCAAAACCCGCCAGTATCACACCCAACGTCAGTGCCTATTAGAGTGATGCAAATTTTGAAATTTTCGCTCCACAATACTTAAACGATTCCAAATCGGATCCTGACTAACCTCTCAAAATTTGAACCCATTTGGTGATAAACTGAGATGGCACAAACCATTTGAAGTTTGTATGGGAATTGCTATGGTAAAACCAAGATTTTTGTTCATGTCTATCTAATAATTCACCATATCGGTCTGCTTCAAAAGCTTTCCAGCAACAACTTTCCTCAAGACCACTTTTTGATTAAATGCAAGGATCGAAAGTTATTAATGGTTCAATGCACTAATGTCTTATGATCATGCTCAATCAACTGCTCAGCAGGCAACATTGGTGTTTCTGGGGCGTTAAATAGGACACAAAAATTATGGCTACTATGTCACACTGCAAAATACAGTGTTGCCTACAGATCAGCTGCTTGATCACGTCATAAGTTTACCAATCTCTTAAATAATTAATAACTATTTCCTGTCTCGTTTTACATAGAAACGATCTTCAGCAAAGTTGTAGCTGAGAAAATTTTCTATAAGAATGACTATCAAACTGTTTTGCAGCTTAATATGGAAAAATACTAGAAAGCAACGAACAAAAAGTTGAGATTTCCCATAGTAATTTACATGTAAACTTCAAATGGTTTGTGCGAAGTTTGTTTCTAACCAAATGAGTTGTAACTTTTGGAGGCTAATCACGACCCGATTTGAAACCATTTAAGCACTGTGGAGCGAAAAAGTCAAATTTTGCATCAGTCTAGTGCCTATACGTAAGCGTACTACGACGCGGCTCTCAATTAAAGGAGTAACAAGTGTGATACTATCACTGCTAGACTAGATCTTTGGTTCTCTCATGCAGTGGTTTATCAGAGAGGGGAAGCTTAGTAATCCCCATTGCCTGCCCATGACGTCTCCAACACTCCACTAGCATGAAATTAAGCCCGCCCACCAACAGCAAGGTGCAAAAACTAGCCAAGGGGAGGGATTTTTGAATAATTTGTTATTCTATTTTAATGTGTTTGATTGACTTTTAATATTTTTTGATTATATATTAATATTCTAAAAGAATAAAATTTAATACTGAAAAGATAAATTTTTATCACAAGTGATTATTTCCAATTTAATCATGCATTACTACTGCCGAAGTAATCATGGCTTGGACTCAATAAGGCGAAACGGGAATTTGCATTCTTTTTAAGCTTTTTTGATTTCAGTGTTCAGTATTTTTGAGTGAATTAATGTAGTTGACTTAGTGGTTGAGATGACGCACTGTTCGAATATTTCCCCATACAAAGGCTTTTCAATAAACAGCTGTTTAAGTTTATGCTGCTAACGTGTTATTATTTACTCCGCGCGAGAAAGAACACCAGTTAACGAATGTTGTTTACTAAAAATGTCTAGATTATAACATCCTAGCTAAACTTAAATGTTTAGTCCTGCTGGACTGCAGATGACGTTGGACTCTGAATTCCAAACTGCTACTTTTTCTTTATTGCAAGTAACTTTTTCTCCTGTTGACCATAAATCACTTTTTCACCGCTTCCAGCCCTGCATTTCGGATCATTAAATACACATACTTTCTATGGATTTGTAGTTTTATATCTAAAAATTCTGGAGTTTTTTTTTATTGATTGGTAGATAACGTAATGCCTGATTTTTCCACAAATCTGATCTGTTTTGTAGCCCTTGAAGATATCCTTATCTCTCAGCACTTCAGCTTGGCTGTGAGTTACTCTCGTTATAGGTATGTCTTTTTCATGAAAGGTGTTACAGTTTGGAAGTATGTAAACTAAATGCCAACAACTATTCATTTGGGGGAGGCAGAACAAATACATAATTGTGAATACAAAATAAAACAAAGTACACCACAAGTAAGTCGAAAAAAGTATAATAAACAAACGGTAAAAGAGGGCTCAATATTCTTAGCTATGGTTCTCTGAGAAGTGTTTTCCAGATTCAAATTTGACGATGTAAAAACTCATCTGACTTCGGCTTCTGCTCGTTGACCGTCCGATGCTATGCACTTGTGTATTGTTATGTGTGTATGTGTGTCTGTGTGAATGGTTGACGTCTGGTTGTCGGTGTGAACCAGCCAGTAGTAGAAGATGCTCAATTGGTTTCAACTATTTTCTTTTATTAAATATCACGCGTCCCTAAATACTTCTTAACCCCATCGCCCGAAAAACTCCCACATTTGCCCTAAATTCTGTAGCAACAAAGTAGTTTGTTACTGTACTGCATGCGCATTTGCTGTATGTGTGTAGAATGTGTAGTTCACCGCCGATCGTTGTTGCCGCTCTGCTGCTATTGTTCCTATCTGTTTGTCAATGTATGATCAACCTAGCGCACAAATTCAGCTCTCCATTATTAGTCGATGTACTGAGCGAGCCAGCGGAAACCCTCTCCGTAGCCCTGTCGTTTCAGCACTGAACACATAAACAGCTCCAGGGGACGTCCAGGAAGTTCGTTACGTGCTACTTTACCCTGTGAAACCCAAGAAAATTATCCTTCTACCGTCAAACACACAGATTCTTCTTTGAAAACTTACCTTTCCGGTGGTCAACTGGTACAGGGCGAAGTGATTCCTAAGTTCGTCCTCGCTAGCTGCACCTGGTTTGTCGATTTTGTTTCCCAGAATGAGCACTGGACAGTTGGACAGGGCTTCGTCGGTTAGCAATGAATCCAGTTCGTTTTTACTCTCGGAGAAACGGCTACGGTCCCAGGCATCGATCAGGAATACGATCGCATCCACCGCCGGGAAGTAATCCTTCCAAACGCGACGGGCTGCCGAAATGGTAGTACAAAAACGTGATGAGTAACAACCGAAATGCTAGAAATTGTACTTGTCTTACCTTGCGTGTGTCCACCCAGATCGAATGTGGTGAACCGCATGTTTCCGATGGACAGTTCCTCGGATGCTATAATGTAGAATGTGAGTTGTTAGAATTTAGCTTTCACATTGCGCAAAATAGCATGCAACTTACTGGGATGTAACGTCGGTACGTGCTGTGCCAGTCTGTCGTCCTTGAGCATGTGCAGCAGCGTCGTTTTACCGGCATTATCCAGACCTAGGAATAGCAGTTTGCCAGACTTCTTCCATAGGCCTAGGGTTCGATATAGAATGGTTCATTAGATATATAGTGCACTACGTATTTGATGGCTTCATTTTGACTTACCTAAGTAACCCAGAACACCGGTGAACCAATCCCAAATGAACATGATGTTTGCGTAGCTGATTCGATTCCAAAATCTGCTAAAAAATTAAGCTCAAGGCAAGCACTAGCAGAGAAACGCGACGCAACAGGAATGGGCGACGCGTGAACTATAGGGGAAAAATAAAAATAGGATAACATGTTAGTAAAGTTAATTGTTTTAGTTAGGTTGCAGCATTCCAGTCCCATTAGATTTCTGTTCCGGTCGAGCATCTTTTCGTTGTTGGAGAAAACTCACAGTAAATCATATGTCAAGCGAGTTGGTACTACTGTATGTATCTAAGCCCAGCCCACTGAGCGTCTGTCTACAATGTATGTGGGCGCGGTTCAAATAACGTCTGACTTGCATCCAGCGGCTGAATAAGAAACGCTTATCCTTGGAAGCTACACCTAAGATGGCCGCTTCATCACGGTAATATGAGACTTTAAGCCAACATTATACTGTCTTCGAAAATGATAACCGTTATAGAAGCCAACAACGGAAGATTACGAACTTCGAGACAGGTTCTGTTATGCTCTCGTATTCGAGGTGAAAACGTTCCCCAGGTACCGCGGCGTTGGTTTCATGTTTGGCGTTCAAGTGGGAGCCTATTAATGAATGGATAAAATTTGCCAGATTTAGAACACGGATCCAAAACCTTACTATATTCCAATGTTATACGCCAACCGATGCTGCCGAGCTACAGGCCAAGGAGAATGTTGATAGTCAACGGAATTATGAAATCATTTGATGTTATAAGTTACAAGAAGAGGTCGTGAAATATGTGTTTGACTAGGGGGCTGGCAACCCTATATCAATCCTTTACGTTTGACAGTAGGCAACATCACCCCAACAAACAATTCACAGTCACAAATAACCATACACATTGAATAAATGCTGTATAAAGGGTGATACGGTCAAAATTTGGTCAATATCAACTTGACGTATTTCTTTCAATTTTGCATTTAAAAGACCTGAACACCCCTCATTTTGAAGGTGTGTGTGTGTGTGTAGAATGTTGCTCCTATTTTGATTTTGGAATTCACTCTTCAGTTGTTAAAATGCCGTCCAAGCAAGAAGAGCAGCGTATCAAAATTTTGCTCGCGCATCGCGAAAATCCGAGCTACTCGCACGCAAAGTTGGCAAAATCGCTAAAAGTTGCCAAATCAACCGTTACAAATGTAATTAAAGTGTTTGGGGAACGTTTGTCGACAGCCAGGAAGTCTGGATCGGGGGGAAATCGAAAACCGGAAGCCGCTGAGACGACAAAGAGAGTTGCCGGTAGTTTCAAGCGAAACCCCTAACCTCTCTCTCCGAGATGCCGCAAATAAGCTGGGTGTATCGTCTACAACCGTGCATCGAGCCAAAAAACGAGCCGGACTATCGACTTACAAGAAGGTAGTGACTCCAAATCACGATGATAAACAAAATACGACGGCCAAAGCGCGATCCCGGAGGCTGTACACGACGATGCTGACGAAGTTTGACTGCGTGGTAATGGACGACGAAACCTACGTCAAAGCCGACTACAAGCAGCTTCCGGGACAGGAGTTTTATACGGCAAAAGGAAGGGGAAAGGTAGCAGATGTTTTCAAGCACATGAAACTGTCAAAGTTCGCAAAGAAATAACTGGTTTGGCAAGCCATCTGTACCTGTGGCTTGAAAAGCAGCATTTTCATAGCTTCCGGGACTGTCAACCAAGAAATTTACGTGAAAGAGTGTTTGAATAAACGTCTGCTGCCTTTCCTGAAGAAACACGGTTGTTCCGTACTGTTTTGGCCGGATTTGGCATCTTGCCATTACGGTAAAAAGGCCATGGAGTGGTACGCCGCCAACAACGTGCAGGTGGTTCCCAAGGACAAGAACCCTCCCAACACGCCCAATTGAGAAATACTGGGCTATTGTCAAGCGGAACCTAAAGACCAAAAAAACTGCTAAGGTCGAGCAGCAGTTCAAGGCAAACTGGCTTTCTGCGGCGAAGAAGGTGGACAAGGTGGCTGTACAAAATCTGATGGCAGGGGTCAAGCGTAAGACCCGGCAATTCGGATTTGGAAAAGCGGAAGCCTAACTGAATATTTTTCCTGAATTTTATACTAATTGAACTTGAAAAAGAAATTTAATTTGATTTTTTAAATAAACGATTTCACCGATTTACACGCGTTTTCCCTTGACCAAATTTTGACCGTATCACCCTTTATAAAGTAAAGGTTATGTGAAAATGCAAACAAATATAAATTAATACAAAAAGAAAGATCTCACCAAAATTATCTGCTATAAGCCTGTCTTTCCATGTTTTCGAAGCTGTTTCATGCATCATCCTTGCCAATACTCTCCAGCAAGCGTTTTTTTTTTCACACCAAAGAATTGAGACCATTCATCACTCTTTCGCCTGCGCTACTATATTGGAAGCAAACCGCAGGAGTCACAACAGAATGCGCAGACCCTTCAGTGTTTGGAGTACATCACCAACACCATCATAGAACTATTAGAAAACCTAACACCTCCGACGCAGCCATCGATCGCTTCACTATGCCACACATTTCTGATCCGGGAGCACACGCGAAGAAAATAAAACAAATTTGCAGATAGTGACATCTCTTCTGATGCTTGCAAACACGATGAATCACGTTTCCTTCGCGATTCAAAAACTTCCCAGAAAGCGAGAAAACCACCACAATCACACACGCATAACCGTCCGGGAGGCAGATGTCTTACTACTCCTCGATCATTATTAACAGGTAAATATTAATTTTATTCAATTAGTATATTATACTGTCATTACTGTTCATACTATCATTGGAACTAATTCATTTAGGCATATTCAATTGACCTGCATTGGGTTATTATTTTGCATGCAATGATATAGGAAAAGGAGGGACTGGCGATTCAGCATGGAGAGTGTATGGGAGTCGTTCTAGGGGTTGTTTGGGGCATGTGGTTCATTTTAGACATTATAGTTTGAAGTGATCACCATGATCCACTCACGTCCCGGAATGTGGCCTTTAGACTTGAGATTTGGCCTTCATAAGACCCCCTTCTGTCTCGCAAAATCAAAATAAAGAAAATCAAAAATAATAAGTGGTACTTCGGAGTCCAGTGAATGACTCATGAAAAAAGATATTTCGGAAAACGTATCATTCCGGGAAATGTGATACCACCGTTTGTCTTAATGATTAAAAAATAAGAAAGCTTATTTAGATGCCAAATAGAGTTAAGATTTCAGGAAAATTTACTGTTATTGTTGTCTTCTTCTTCTACTTGACTTTTAAAACCTCCCTACTGAGACTGTACGCCGACTCTCAACTTAGTGTTCTTCCACAGTTGTTAAGTGAGAGCTTTGTAAGCCGAATACCATTTTTGCAACAGTATTATTGTGTGGCATGTACTATCAGTTACTCTATGTACATGTAAGTCGAGAAATTCTAAGCCTAGACCGCGAATCGAACTCAGCCGCCTCCAGCATGGTCTTGCTTTATAGCTGCGCCTTTACTAAACACCCTGTTGTTGTATTTTGAGGATGGTAAATATTTAAGTAAAAGATGGCTGAGCGTTGAGGAAATTTGTTTGATCGATCGACATGGATCAGAAAACGACGCAAACGAAGTTCCTGAGAGCGTAATGCTCCAGACTGTTCCGTGCAGTTTTCAACATAACGTTGAGGCGGGTCGTAAGGATCGTCCGTGATGGACATATTAATCGAATTTGATCATCGACTAAATATTGAGGTGAGGCAATATCAACGAGAATTTTCCTACTGGATTCCATGAACTTGACTGCAAAGCAACCCATTTGCAAGCACTTGCATTCAAGCAGAGAAAAGGCATAAATGCAACAGGGTTGTGGGTAATCAAGATGGCTTTCGTTACGAAGAAAATATACATGTGAGATTTTTCTATCTGTGCAGGGACTGCCTACACGTGGACAGTTCAAGGAAGGGTTGACGAGTTTCCACGGTTCATAGAAATGTTTAGAAGTACGTCGTGGTTTCTGAACAGTCTCTTATTGGGAAAGTTTTGGTGAACACTAGTGATAAACCACCCCCACCAAGAAAAAAAAATTGTTGAATCCGGTACACAGCGGAAACCTTTCATCACCGGATTCAACGCAGTCTGCTGGATAGGCGGACAGTACGGTTCGACACATGCAACTGCTTTTCATCAGCGAATTCTTGCAAGACGGACGAGATCATTTTTATTTTTATTATTATTTGGTTTTCGTTATTTATTATAATAATTATTGTTCGTTTTCTTGTTGCCTTTTTGATATTGTACTTCATACTTGCATTTCAAAAATATATGTGTTTTTTACACCTATTTAAGGTAACTCCTGCGAACTAACAATGCCAGCTGATAGAGGAAACATCCCTCTAGCTGATGGTGTCGTTATTTTGCATGTGTAAGCTTTTATTCGCTAGAAACCACCCTTTTGAAATGTTGATGAAGAGTTGATCGTCCTGTTACTTCAAGGACATATTCACATTAGAATCCTTTAAAAAATGAAAATACAGGTAATCACTGTTAAAAATTGTTAGCATTTAGTTTTAGGTACTTATGCTTTTTGCTGTTGCGAAAAATCCGTTGTTGTTCGTTGTAATAAAACAAAATTGAATGTACGTACGTACGTTAAATAACATGAAATCACTTTGATTTTGCGCATACTAATGTGTACATCGTTCTGGTTTTGCGATTCATTTTTAATATACAGAGAGGTATCGTTGTTTGCGGATGGAGTTTTCACCTCTATACATTTTTCACAATTCCTAGCTGCCTGATCTTTGGAAGCAAAAATACTGACTGCAAATGGTATCTATATTATCAAAACCAGGTATCGAGGAATCCAGAAAAAAATAATACCGACAAAAACTCCATCCGCAAACAACGGTACCTCTCTGTAGCTACACAGACAAGGACTTGCAACCCATCTTTCGTTATTCAAACCGATGAAGTGAAGAGAAGGATGAGACAGCTGAACGAATTTCTTCTTGTTTGCTATACCTGACCTTTACCCCATCTCGCAGAGACGCGTCATTGATAAATAGCTGCAGAACATATCAAGAGGCACACACGATTGCGTCGTGGTCAGTGCCTAGCCTAACCGTAAATCCTATAAATAAATAATTCAAAACACTACGACAGCCGTCCCTTTTTTCCCCATTGAGTTTCACTAAATTGCAACTCATCATTCTTACCTTCGGTCCTCGATAATTACCGACTAATATGTATTATGAGCTTTTTGATAAGCTTTACACAAAGGCAGGTTGGTTGTAGTCATAGCCATATACCAACTACGCGATGTGAGAGTCTTAGGCTCGGCTGTAAACCCTTTCCAACCCATTGGCATGTTTTATCACAAACTACCTGCAAGTTTTGAACTATCTTCAGCACAAATTTCGGTCCATCTTGCGACAACGCAGCATTAATTCGTTGCGAAATTAGCCATCTCTATCATTAGCCACAGAGCCAACACCATACAAATTTCAGGCAACCACTGACAAGAGCCTTGATGGAAGCACTCGGTCTTGGAATTTCGATACTAATTTGAGTCCTGATTTTCCGCACAATCCTTGCACCGCATTGGTACCTACCTAGTGTAAAATGAAGCACGCAACGGGTAGTTTCGGTTCACGATGGAATTTCTGGGCTGGAACGCGGATTAAACTAGGATTTTCACTGAAATATCTATCACCCTGAAGTTCCTGGTGATGATGGAGAGCACTCTTCTTCACACACTTTTTTTTGCTTTTTGATTGGCCGTCGTCGTCGTCGTCGTCAGTTTTCTCAGCTCTCTTTCTCCGTAGTTTTATGAAAGAAATTTGACGTTTTGACAGCAAACGGGAGAGAATTTTCACACGCGTGCACTCTCGTGAGAGAGTTTGACGTGGAAGCCACAAACAAGCTAGCGCAGTCTGCTGGTGGTCGAGTGAACTAGGCAAGTAGAGGGGTCATCAGATGTGAAGTTCACAGGGAAGTTCAATAGATTTTGGTTCGTCAGTGATGATAGTATCAATGTTGACGTCAATGGCGTTGTTAATTCTGGAGTGCTTTTTGAATAGTATATAGAAAAAAAATATGTGCATGCACCGAAAAAAAAAGTAATTGAATAGTACATCCAAACAGCTGCACAGAGGTCTTCTACTCCCGCATAAACGCAAACCATCACTTGACCTTACCGATAATGGTTATAAATTGTTTATAATCCCTCCTAAACTTTAACTGAAATGGTTTTGGAACCTTACATGAACGTTTGTGATAAAGTTTTAACCTTATGTATTATGGTTTTAAGGAAGCGGACCTTACAAATAATGGGTCGTTAAGAACCATTACCATTCCAAATTCTTGTTTTCTCCATACATTTTCGGAAAGAGAACTATATTAGAACGTTTTTACTTATGGTTTGAGAACATTAATGATGGTAGTCAGTAAGGTCCATTAATCGTTTTGTATTATCGCTCAACTTTACGTGGAATATATCGCGAACTGATAATTATTAATTTACAGGCAACCAATTCGCGATATATTCCACATAAAGTTGATCGATGTCACAAAACCATTCATGGGCCTTACTGACTACCATAACCATAACCATAACCATCAATGTTCTCAAACCATAAGTAAAAACGTTCTAATATAGTTCTCTTTCCGAAAATTATACTCGCTCACACCTGGTGGGGGAAGTCCGATGGCGGGCACAGGCGGCTAGCCAAAGTCAGTCAGGAGCAAGGGGGGGGGGGGGAAGTGGCTGTCAAATACGAACAATCGTCGCCTACCTCGCATGCCTCGCATAACTGGTTCCAAAGGTAAACAAGCCATAAGAAACCTACAGCGATTGTTTACGTTTGGAGCCAGTTTCATACAAGAATGATCAGTAGGCTGATTTGACAGCACGTCCCCCCCCAGGTCAGGAGGTGCAAATGACTTTTTCGTGTTGCCCAGAATCTTGTGATCTTTTGACATTTGTCGCTGTACACCGGTAATTGGCTAGTACCGGGCCGATTTCGACATGTTAGTCGTTTGCGAGATTGTAGATATCGCTTTCAAAAGAACTGACCTTAGCCAAACGCTCTATCACCGACAAACCGACATGACACTTAATTCTGACTTATGCCCGAAAATCGTAAACGGCCGATTTAAATGTGCAGTGATCCGAACTGTCAAAACCATAGGATTTTTTGATCTAGATAAAAATAATTTGTCCAGAATAGATCAGACACAAACCAATTCATAACTTTTGTATACAGGTTTATGGCTTAGCTAAATATTTCCCGTGAATACGGAGCCAGATGTCAGTAGTGTGCTTTGGCCAGAAATTTTATTGTTTTTGCTATGGTCATTCACGTCGGTTTGTCGGTGGCTCTATTTCGGGAACACCGAGCATTAACTGTTTACAATTATGTTTTTAATAAGGACGACTACGAGCACGACTACAAAAGTAGGACTTAACAAAATAATATGCATTTTTTAAATTAATTTATTTGCACAGGCTCAATCAAATAAACTTTACAGAGCCAAGTTATCATTTGCGTTTTACGTAATTAATGTCTTAAATCTAGAGTTAAAGGAATTGAATCGATTACTCACGGTCGTCTCGAGGTTAGTAGAGATTTACAGTTTTATGAATGGAGAGAGGGAGAAGGAGGTTTGAGATATGATTTACACTACAAATATTTCATTATTCCTAAAACATGAATTTATTACTATTCTATTTGGTATCAGCAGCAAACATTAAAACAAAAACACACACACACGAACAAAATACAAAATAAACACAAGGTTAATCAAACTTACAATCCAAGGTTAATATTCTTAAAGAAAACATATATGAGTTGCGTCTACCCAAAATATCCCATACTGGAACATTAGGTTGTCTACCTCGAGCCCGAAGGGAATCGTACAACTCGGATCTGATTCCACGGTGCTCAGCACATGACCAAATAATGTGATCTGCGTCCTGGTAACCTAGTCCACATTCACAGAGATTGCTGTCCTCCAGCCCAACGCGGAACAAGTGAGTGTTTAACGAGTAGTGATTGGACATGAGGCGATACATCATTCGTATGAAGTCACGACCCACTTTAAGAGATGAACTAGCCTCAGGCTAAAAATCTCTAAAATAAAGACAAAAAAAAAAAAAAAAAAAAAAGTCACGGCCCACATTCAACCCTTTGAACCAAGGACCCTTCGACAAAGGGGATTTATGACAGTCCCAGTAGAGATTCCGAACAAGCCTAGGGGGAATTTCAGACAATCCTGTCGTGACCGGACCGAGGTTTCCAGCCTTGGTCACGGCTACCCGAATTAGCGATGCAGCTCCCACGGGTCATTTGTTTATGCTGCTGCTGCTGTTTCTGTTGCTGCTTTTTCTTTTGCTGCTTTTTTTGCTGCTGCTGCTGTTTCTGTTGCTGCTGTTTCTGCTGCTGGTGGTGGTCCGCCACCTCCAAAATTTCTTTTGCTGCTGTTTCTGTTGCAGCTGTTTCTGTTGCTGCTGTTTCTGTTGCTGCTGTTTCTGCTGCTGGTGGTGGTCCGTCACCTCCAAAATTTCTTTTGCTGCTGTTTCTGTTGCTGCTGTTTCTGCTGCTGGTGGTGGTCCGTCACCTCCAAAATTCGTTACAAGAATGACCTCAACGAGTTTATTTTTTTGTTTAAATGATCTTTATTTTAGTTTAACTTGGACGATTACCATATAAATTTTTTACTAAGTGATTTAATTGCTTTCTTCATCTTTAGGTATGGGCAAAATTTAAAATTTGTTTTACAGGATTAGTCCTAGACTCAGTACACGGTCGACCACCTTGGTGGGATTGGTTTGTTTTGTTTTTAGAATTTGAAGAGTAACTACTTAATACTACTATTTACAGCTTAAAATTAACCTACTCTACTATATACACTTAACCTACTATGTACAAATTGCTTATTAAAGCATGTTCAGAAAGACTGCATTTTTGAATAAATTTAGTTGTCATATCATCAATTTTGGAATCTACTTTGGGAATTTCTGCCTCTTGATGGAGGTCTACTATTCTTGTGTCGAATGGACGATCTAGGATCATCCTCAACACTCTATTCTGTGCAACCTGGATTTTGTTCCTGTGGGTCTGAGCGCACGATTCCCACACCGGGGCGGCATATAAGATCGCGGGGGCTATGATCTGTTTGTAAACAGCCAGTTTGTTTTGCCTTGAGAGGCGGGATCTGCGGCAAATGAGCGGATACAAACACCTAACCAAGGCGGAGCACTTAACTAGGGTTTTCTCTATGTGCGAGCGGAACAGGAGCTTCTCATCGAACAACATCCCGAGATAAGTAACATCAGTGGACCACTCGACCCTTGTACCATCCATTATTACGGTACAGGAGGGAGACGGTTTAAGTTTTGGTGATTGTCTGTGAAGGAACATGATCGCTTGGGTTTTCGAGGCGTTGATTTTGATTTTCCACGAGGTGGCATAATCAGTAAAGGTGTCAAGGCATCGTTGCAGCTTGTTCATAATTTCACGAGGCATCCTACCCTTGACGGCTATCGCGGTGTCATCTGCGAACAGAAAGAACACGCAACCGTCTCCTAGAGGAGGGATGTCCGACGTGTAGATGCTGTAAAGCAGTGGTCCCAGCAGACTCCCTTGCGGAACACCTGCTGGGATCGGAAATTGTCCCGAAAGGGAACTATTCAACGACACCCTGAACGACCTTTGCTGGAGATAGTTACGGGTGATTTTCACAAGGTATGGTGGAAAGTTGGAGTTACAAAGCTTGTATATAAGTCCGTCGTGCCAGACATTGTCAAACGCCTTTTCGACGTCTAACAAGGCCATGGCTGTGGACTTGGATACAGCTTTGTTACTTCGGATGTTATTCATCACCCGCACTAGCTGATGATTGGTGGAATGCCCCTTGCGGAACCCGAACTGTTCCGGAAGAAGAATGTCATGTTCCTCCACAAACTTGTTTAGTCGGCTGAGGATCAATTTTTCGAACAGCTTGCTCAGCGCTGAGAGCAGGCTAATCGGTCTGTAGCTTGACGGTAGTGAAGGGTCTTTCCCAGGTTTGCGGATCGGGATGATTTTTGCCACCTTCCAGATGCTTGGAAAGTAGTGCAGCTCCAAGCATCTGTTGAGGATGGCAGCCAGCAGCGAGTGGACCCTCGGGCTGAGATTTTTCAACGCTAGGTTGAATATTCCGTCAAACCCGGGAGCCTTCATGTTTTTGCTATATTTCAGCGCTGAGCAAATTTGTTCCTCTGTAATCCGTTCTTCTGGAGGGACGGCACAAGGGGAGGTATCTAACGTCTGGACGCACTGCACAACCTGGTTCTCGAGTGGACTTGGGATTGTAGAGCCAAGCAAATGCGATTGGGCAATGTGCTCCCCAATTGCATTGGCCTTCTCTTCGTTGGTGATAAGCCGTTCGTCATTGACTCTAAGTGGTGGAATGGGCTTGGGGTGAGACTTCAGCACCTTGGCAACCTTCCAGAATGGTTTGGAACGGTCGTCCAGGTTCTGAACGAGCCGCCCGAAACTCTCGTTCCGGATTGAGACCATTCTGGAAGCGATCTGCCGATTCAGATCGACCATTTCGTATTTACGCTGCAGATCCCCAGTCCGCTGAAACTGGCGTCTACGAACATTTCTGAGCCGAATCAAGAGTTTGGTGTGGGAATCAATTGCTTGAAACTTACCCCTCACAGGAACTCGTCGAACGCACTCTTCGTCAGCCACGGATATGGCTTGATGGAGACCCTCCAGGGCCCGGTCGATGTCCTCCACTGTGTCGAGTGGTGGGTTGTCGTCGATGTGGCGGTCGACCACGCGTCGAAACTGGACCCAGTTGACTCGATGGTAGTCCTTCCGCTGGCACGGTGCAGGGGCCACGTTGTAGCCCAGCTCGGTCAGCACCGGTTGGTGGTCCGAACTCAGGTCGTTGACGGCAACCGGCTTGGCTAATCTGGTGTTTGCCAAGAACAGGTCCAGCGTCGATGGGTTGCCCGCCGGTGATGTGAAGGTTGGTTCGTCCGGAAACCAGACGGAATAGAGACCATGCTGGGAATGGTCGAATAGCAGGCGGCCGTTCTGGTTCTGCTGGTAGTTCCGCCAGGCCTCGTGCCGGGCGTTCAGGTCCCCTCCGATTACAAAGCGGGCATTGGTATGGGTTATGATGGCAAGGTCGTTCTTGAACTGCTGTGCTGTACCATTGCTAACGGTACATTGCCGGGGGCAGTAGACAACGATGAACCGGACTTTTCCGGTCGATGTTTCCACCTCAACGCCGACGGCCTCGATGATGGAAGTGCGGTAGTGGGGTAGGGTGCAGTACTTGATGCCTTTCTTGATGATGACCGCGACACCGCCCCCCCTGGAGCTGGTGCGATCAAGCCGGACAATGCTGTGGTCGGGCAGCCAGAAGCTGTCACCGGTCTTGAGGTGGGTCTCGGTGAGAAGGCCCACGTCGATGTCGTGCTTGCGGAGGAAGTCTGCAAGCTCAATGTTTTTCGCCCCTACGGAGCGAGCGTTCCAGTTGGCGATCTTTATGGGTTCACGGTCCATAATTAGCGACGAAGGAGATGATAGCTTGGAGCTGTTGTGTTCTTGTTGCGCAGGTGCGCTTGATGATGATGGCCTGGGCCAACAGTGTGACGATCTCATCCGTTGACAGCGGAGAATCGTCTGTAGCTTCACCGGTTGTACCGGCCAATCCCGGAGCAGGGGGATCCGTCGATGGGCCGGAGGCTTGACTGGGTACTGCAGCGGCAGCCGACTGGGCAGCAGCCAACTGTTGGTTGAGCGGGAGCGGCGCCAACACTGGAATTGGCCGTGGTTGGACCGGTGATAACGGAGGAAAGTTCTGCGCGTTGTTTTCCGGGACCTTCTTGCGACCGGGCTGGTTGTTGGACGAGGCCTTCTTCCGGATCTCGGCGTATTCGGCCCGCTTCGGACAGGCCTTACTCGTGGCCTTGTGGGCAGCACCGCAGTTGGCGCATGTGGGAGCGGCTTCCTCGATGCTGTCGCAGTTGTCGATCTTGTGGTTTTTGCCGCATTTGATGCAGCGGCTGGCCATGCGGCAGTTCCTGGTGCCGTGCCCGAACAATAGGCAGTTCGAGCACTGAGTGACGCCACGGTGGGTTGGCTTATACCGCTCCCACTTCACTACGATGTGGAACAGTGTGCGTGTCGTATGGAGATCCTTCACGGTTGTGGAGTTCTTCTGCAGATGGACCAAGTAGAGCTGGTCACGATACTTGATGGCCTTGCTGCGGGTCATCTTGTGGATTTCGACCGGCTTGAGGCCGTTCGCCTTAATCTCGTTCATTAAGGTGGTGGTGTCCATGTCGTGGAGCCCGCGCAGCACCACTTTCAGCGGCTTGGTGGCCTCGACGTCGTGGGAGAAGTACTCCAGCTTCATCCTGTCCAAGAGGGCCTGGACTGCGTTGTAGTGATTTTCGGCCGATACCATCAGTTTGTAGCCTTCCGTGCACCGTTGAATGGTGCAGCGAAGGCCCTGCTTAATGTAGAAATCCAGCTGCTCCCATAGCCCGGGAGGGAAGCCCTTCACATAGAAGGGTGGCAACTTAACTTTTTTCGGCACCGTCTCAGGGTCCGACTGCGGCTGGGCTCCGTTCTGCAGGGCGGAGAACGGATTGTTGCTCAGCAGCTTTTTTGCTGCTGATGCGGTGGCGCTGCTGTCTTCAGGTCTGGGTCGTTTAGTTCCGGGAGGCCCCGGCTGCGGGTCCGCAATGCCTGTCGGGATGGGCAATGGGGTTTTCTTCTGCTTCTTCTGGGCTGGCTCGGTGGTCGCGCCATCTCCTGGGAGAGTCTGTTTTCCCGGTAAACCGGCACTCGCGTTACCGCGCGATTTCTTACCCATGGCTGGGTCAGCGAGAGCGTCACTACACAACGCGGAGCTAATTCGACTTGCGAACGAACGAACGAAACTAGAGAGAATTCAAATCGACTGAACTGCTCAACAGTCTGGCAGCGAATGATGTGCATCCAGAGATGCCAGGCTTATTTTGAAAAAATCTGGCAAAACCCGAAAAAAAAGTCTGGCAAAAATCTGGCACAGCAAATTAACATAGGAAGCTGCCAGATTTCTCAAAAAATCTGTCTGGCAGAGCTTAAATTTCTCTGGCTGTGCCAGATAAATCTGGCAACCTGGCAACGCTGTGTGCATCCATGACCTCAACGAGCTTAGGTACACGCTCATTCATTTTTACTCTAAAGTGAGTAGAAATCCACTCACTTTCGGTAAAAGTGGAACTACTCTAAAGAGAGTAAACCCAAGTTACTCACTTTTGAGTAATGGATGCATTTGTCAAATTCAGAGTAACTTCTACTCAGTTCCGGTTTTTGGGAAATTAGCAAAACTGAGTGAATGATACTCAGTTCTTGTAAAATATATCGGTATATAAAATGAATAATTTGAATTGACATTTAGAGAATGAGAAAAGTAAACAACATATTTATTAAAAGATAAAATAATAACATTAAGGTTACATCATTGGTACATCAGTCCTCTTGCCGACAGGGAATTTTTCGTACTCCTGAAATGAAAGTTAATTCGAACTTTCTACATATCATCGATAACAAAATCAGTCTAAAGAAATCTACCTTCTTGCTTGTTGATATGAAGTCGAGTATGAAGTGTAATGTAGTGCTGGTGATTGAATTGCTCCAGACATTGAGAGCCTTCGAACGTCTCCCGACCCAACACAATAGTTGATTGGCATCTTGCCTAATGTTCCTCTTTCGCCAGGTCCAAAATTTCCTTCTGCTGCAAAATCCACACATCCTCTTTGTTCTGCAATGGTTCCTGTTTGGTTTCGAAATAGTTGGTTTCTGAAGATGCAGCAATGCTCGTCGATGTTGATTCTACAATTTTAAATTATTATATCTATAGGAATTTCATGTTTGAATAAAAAACGGGGACTACGAACATTTTGTAACTCTTTGACAAATGCACGATGAGTAGTTTTTTGATGGTTACTCTAAAGTGAGTAATCATTGATTTAAGATAAACAGAGTAAATGTTACTCAGTTTGCTAAATCAATGCTACTCAGTTTTTGACATTTTGAATAAAAATACCAAACTGAGTAGAAGTTACTCACTTTAGAGTAAAAATAAACGAGCGTGTACTTCATATTTATACCTGCTAACCTATCAAAATTCTCTAACCAATGAGATTCCGTTTACATACGGACTATCATGCTTCACGCTCACCCGATTCTACTCATTATTTGTTCAACTCTAACTCTATCTACTACAAATCCCAGTTCGGTTTTCCAACAATATCAAAGGTAACTTCGGAAAATCTCAAGAAGGAATATGAACTATCCCAGGGAGGATTTTGGACAATCACAGAAAGAATTGCACTCAATATTTAGGGGGATTCATGACTGTCCAGGGGGGATTCCATATAATCCAGTCAATCCAAAGGTAGATTCTGGACAATCCCAGTATTCAAAAATGGTATGTGATGGTTCCTCACACAAAGAATTATCGTTAATAAAATTAAATTTGATTTTTTTAGTGTATACACTAATATGTATACACTAATTTTAGTGTATACACATAAAAACAATCTTTGATTTCTTTAGTGTATACACTAAAAAAATCAAAGATTGTTTTTATGTGTACCACACATGAATTTTTACAACGTGATCAACAAAAATGATAGCTACATATGTGTCGGACACATACTTAATATGCGTACTCATAAAAGCCATTTGTAACCACACATACTATTCATTTGACTGTTTTTGTGTGGTCACATGAAAATCATGTGGAATTTCACATGGAAATACGTCAATAAAAATGAGTGGAATCTATAATTTATAATAATGCTTAAATTTTATTCCATTTCACGCAGGCAAAAGAATGTAAAAATTCCATAAGAAACACTTATGAATTTTAGCCACAATAAATCAGTATTAATTTCAATGATTTACCTTATGAAGAGTTAAGAGACAAAAAAATCAAAGCAGATTGGAACCGATTTCGTCTTTCAACGCTTAAGGCCTGTATATAGATCGAGCGAAGCGAAAATCTCATTCAAAATACTCGTCAAAATACTACATTTTTCATCACTGAAAAAAGTTTTCATATAGTTTCCATTGGGAATGCACATGATATTTTTCCAATAACAAAATTAATTATTTTTACCTGAAATTCACATAACATTCATATGATAACATGAATTCTATGTGATAAATCACAGGAACTTCATTCGACACATAAGATTCATGTGATTTCGTGGTGCGATGCCCAATTATGAGGTCACATGAAAGTTATGTGAAATTCTAATGGATATTTTCCATCGGAAATGTGATTTATTTTTTGAGTGTAGATTATGCTGTATATATTTATTCATTTTGCGTAACTGTGAGTAAAATGCGGTATCATTGAATAGTTATGAGTTGGCGTGCTAAACATAAACATAGTCGCGAAGCTTCAATCATCACTTGGATGGATTCACTGACGATTTATAAGCATCATCATTGCTGATGATGATGTTGAACTGCGGATATCACAATGATCGCCGCGTAGCATAAAAGTAGCATCACGTACACCTGTACACACGAGAGCTTTTCGTCACTGTTTTGATGAGGGTTTTTAAAACAATCCATGTTTATTGACTTGGCAGAAAAGTTTCGGCATTATGAGTAAGAAAATGGATATTAAACCGATGGTGAGTAGGTACACAAATACGATCACCAACATGTTTACTGTGATTATTTGCAATATTGTAGACGCATTGCTTCATTCCCGGTTGTGCGGCCATAGCCGAGTGGAACAAGCTTCTGTTCTTCAAGATGTCCTTCGGGGATCTGCCGCATTGGTGGAAGAGCACTGCTTGGGTGGCCAAGCATAACACTGAGCTGCCGAGAGATGCCCTCATTTGCGAGCGGCATTTTGAGGAACGATTCATCGATCGGTCTCGGAAGAAACCCCGGTTGATGGTGGGAACCATACCGACGTTGAACCTTGCGGCTCTGGAAGTGAACAATCAAGACAACTTAGAGTTCTTTTGCCGAATGTGCGCAAAGAAGGGATTTGCGCCGATGCGCTACCGTTTGGAGCAGCTGGGCGGAATGAGTGAGGTGGTTCGCTGCTGTTTGGGTCGATACCGGACGGAGGTAGGATTGCCACCTGGAGTGTGCGAAAGCTGTGTCCAAACGGTGAAAAAGTTTGCTCAATTCGCCAAGCAGTGTGAAGAGTCCCAGCTGCAGATGTTGCAGCTTCAAAGGAAAAGTAACGAGGAACAGGTAGCAGAAAGGTCGGAGAATTCGGTAGAATACACAAATGTCGAAGCGAACAAGGAGAATACCGATACGGAAGAACTGGTGAATCCGGTGGGTAATGACGACCAATCGTTAAACAAACCGAGTAAGAATGGTAGCACAAGAAAGAAGAAAAGCAAATGCTTCGATGATGGAAAACCATGTCCGGATTGCGGAAAATTGTTCAAGACACAGGGAAGATATTACTACCACTTGAAAAGTCACAACGAGCAGGAATACGGTTGTCAGATATGTGGCAAAAAGTTCGCAAGAAAAGATGGACTCCGGAAGCATCTGGAACTGGTACACGGCGGCAAAGTGAAGCACAAATGTGCGCTTTGTGGTAAAACATTCTCGACACGGAGCCAGCTGAATCTTCACCGTACTGAAGAACACAAGTCTAATGCAAAATATCGGTATGTAGCACAAAAGCAATAGTTACTGCATCAGGTGGTGATGAACTCGAATTTCAGACTCAAGACAGAGAATGTGAAACCCAGCCAAACGAAAGAGAAGGTAGCAAAACGATTGATGCCAGATTCCCTGGTGGATGATGGAGTGGATTAGCGGTTCCTGCTTCGCCTAAAAAATGGACTCATAAATACAGTATTTGGATGCCTTTTGATATTTTTTTATATGAAGTTTACGAACACATATCATTATCATTGGAATAAACGAAGAATATTTACTAAGCTATATCAAATTTCTTATTCTTATGTAAGCACATCGATACAAGTCACATGAAATTATCCGTTCCAACTTCAACCTCGATCTGTGCCGGTTCCAGGGCTTCGAAGCTTTCTTCCTTAGGCTTTTTTGGCTTCAACTTTTCAATCACTGCCTTAGCCAGTGGGTGATCTTGGTGTTTCTTCGTCCGAAGATGGGCATACAAGTTTTTCCTGTCGGAAAACTCACGGCCACAGATTGGACATTGATGTGCTTTGCCATATTCGTGTTCCAATACATGGATATCATAGTTTTGCTTGCGCTTGAAACTCATGTCGCAGATTTTACAACGGAAATCAGTAGGAAAATGTACCGTTGATAGATGGACTCCCATTGCTTTGCAAATTGCACCACAGAGGTTGCATTTCTTCATTTTAGCACTAGGATTGTCTTCTCCTCCCTCGATAACGGTGTAGTACTCTTTCCATTCCTTTGAAGCTACGTAGTTCGGATTTTCTATGTGCTTCTTCTCGTGGTACCGATGCGTTAGCTCTGAGCTAAATGTCTTCGAACAATAACTGCACTTGAACACCTGGTTTGAATGATACGTTTTTATGTGAGTCTGGACACTATCTAGCGATACAAGTTTTTTCTGACAAAAGTGGCACTCGTATTTTTTTATTTTTTCGTGCCGGCGTTGAATGTGCAAGCGTAGTTTGTGCCGTTCCTTGAAAATTCTACCACAAACCTCGCAGCTAACAGCAGAGGTGTGAAGCTTCATGTGATGTAGAAGCGAAACCTTGGAAGGATAAATTTCGCCACAGTATTCGCACGTCGACGGGCACTGAACATCACCGTCCAAGTGATGCATCTGCACGTGAAGTGCGACATTATTTTTGCTGGTGTATCGTTTGTCGCAATATGGACATTTCTCCGGATTCAAATGCTGCCGCATATGAGCGTTGAGCCCTTGAACGCCTTTGATAACAACTGTCTCCATCACACAATCCGGACAAGTGTACGGCACTAGCTCCGAGTGGCTGCTGTTTAGGTGAGCAATCAGTGCCTCGGACGTTCCATGAGACTCACTTTTGCAAATGTAGCACTTGTAATCGTGCAATCGAGGGCGGTTTGGATCTTCAGCTTTCTTGCGCCGGCGACCAAGTTTCGGTTTATCATTCGCATTCTTCTGTTGCTTTGTTTTGCGACGATATTTCTTCACCGGGGGCTCCTTATCTTCAATATCAGTGTCATTCGCAATCGGTTTCCACTCATCGTCGTCATCATCATCTGCGACAGTTTCTTCTTCGTTTTCAGTATCCGCAAGGTCCTGTTTCGGTGGAACACTTACTGCATCCTGTATTTGATCAGTAACTCCACTGTCGTCATTAAGTTCCGAGTCAAGATATTCCTCCTCCATAACTTCCTGCTTAACACTGATGTCACCAACTTCCCTAAAAAAATAAATATAGTGTTATTATTGTCAACACAAGTACAACAAACTGCACAACACTAACAGTTCTTGTGTAAATGCCTTCTCCAGCATATCCACGTCCACCTCTTCCTCTTCCTGTTTAATCTCGATCTGCAGCGTTCCGACTAATTGCTGTCTCAGCTTCAAGTCGTTTGCCCGGAAGTTTTCGATACTTTTGTGCATTTTCAGCAGTGTGGTGGTACACCATGTGCATATCTTCTGAGGCATTCCGTCATCGGGCTCGACCTGTACCAAGAACAAAACGCAGCAATGGTAGTAACTAATTAGATTCGTTATTATATCTCGTATGTAAACAATGGCTTCAAGCGTCGATTTCTTGAGCTCGATCCTCGGTGCTGATGATTTGCGAGGATGAGTTTTGAGTCAGTATAGACCAGGCATAACATTATTTTGATAACGGCACAAAAGCATTTATGAACAAACTTTCTAAGGCCCTTTGCACGCGAACCAAAGTACGCCCACGAAAACCAATACCACTTTCGGAAAGGTGATAGTTGCCCCTATCCGGTGATGTGGTAGGTTTGCGTGGGCATACTTTTGTTCGCGTGTAAAGGGCCTTAGAAAGTTTGTTTACAAATGCTTTTGTGCCGTTATCAAATGTTATGCCTGAATAGTGAATTTCTCATGTAAACTCTTTTATTCATTCGACCCAGTAATTCATGCCATTTACGTCCGATGGAAGTCTGCACTTACCTCAAGCCGTGAAAGATCGAAGATTATCTGCTGCAAGGAGAGTGGATAATCTTGCCGTTGTTCGAACAGGGGCCGCATACGGCTCTTTTTCTCGCAACAGAGACGACATATTTTCTTCACGTCCAAGCTCATTTTTCTCTTGTGGAAAGTGGAAGGAATTGAGAATTATACGTTTATTTAGTTTACCTATTTTAATGCAACAAACCCCAGCAAATCACGTAGGAATGGTGTACGAACCGAAATAAACTACTACGAAAAATTATGAAAAGCTTCCGCTAGTTGCTGTCGAATCGAGCTGTCGAGTTTGAATGACACTTCCTCATCAGCCAAACTCGGCCAAAATCAGGCGTCATCATCAACATCATCATCGAGAGCAAAATTTCTCGGTGATCATGTTAAAAGGGACAATCAGTGATACTGGGTATATCTGGCGTCCCTGCTTCACGGTAACCGCAAAACACCCAATAATGACTAAAAGACTTGATATTGACTGCAAAGTAAGCATTTTCGAGGGAGACTGGGGCTACCGGGGCTACCTATTAAATGAGTAAAAAATAATCCATTTAGGAGTATTTGATACTCACAAATGAATACTTACTAATTATTTTTGTAGCTGTAATTACTCATAAATGGGTAAAATTTTACTCATTTAATGGGTATGTTTTCCCCGAAAATGCTGAAAACGCACACTAGCGGAAGCAACGCCGTGTAAAGTTGTTTATTATTTTCCTCTGGCTAACCTTAAAAAATGTATGAAAGTAGACCTGTCAAAATGAGTTTGACATGGGAATCCTATGTATGAGTGCTCATTGCAAGACAGCCTATATTACATGATATAAGCCATAGTCTGTACGGGGTATTAATTCAGTAAATAAATTGCTGTCTACACGATAAGATGCACATACCTTAAAGTCGGTAAAGAATACCTAGATAACGGTAAAAATTACCGATAATCGAAGAAAGTGCACATACCTACCTACATTATCGGTAATCATGGATTACCAATAATTAACGTTAAAAATTACCTAATTTATAGTATAAAATAGCATATTCAAAATAAAAAGTACCGATATTTATCGGTAAAAAATACCGATAACTTTTAACCGATAATTTTAGGTAATCGTAGCTACACACAAAAAAACAAAAATTGTATCTTTAAAATATTTTACATTTCAAATTAAAAGTTTCTCGAATTTGGTAGTTTCAACTGCGAATATTTTCAAAATGTATTGTTTTTCTTTGGTTTGAAAGTTTTTCTTTCATTATCGACATGTAATTTTAAAAGTTCATACTTTTAAAATAAAAATTGAACAACTGTCAAAATCACCTCTTGAAAAGCTCATTGACATGGTCCAAAAATCCAATAGGGCATATAGTATGAGACACTAGAATCAAACCACAGAAAATCAATCGTGCATCGTGCAGTTCCGGGAACCGTTTCTGGTACCGGAGGCAATGAGAAAGAATAAAGTTTTCGCGAAGGTAAGATTGCAACTACTGTCTAGATATTTCGAGGGTGGTTTTGAAAACAAGATGATTATTTTCCAGATCGCCAGCATATTAGGACGTTAGAGCACACTGCAGAGATGCTTCGGTGGCTATCAATAGCGTTTGTAATGTATCGCTGCAGGGATTACAGATTCCGTTCTTTTGTATAGGACACTGGTAAGATTTATCCGCACCAGGTTTCGCTGCTTATCGTCGGCCAGCTGTGAAAACAAGATGCACTTTCGTTCGACCAAGTCCGCTGCATGTTGGAGCCCCGCGTCTGGGAGAAAACCTTCACTAAAGCCATCCGCCAAAGACAACATCCCTGATATCAACATCCTGATGTGAATGAAAAATAGAAATATGAATATTAACAAAATACTTAAATAAATATAAATATTGGTTATTTTCCTTTCACATAAAAGCAATTAAATAAAAAATAATTCGTATTTGAGGTGAAAACTTATACTAATTGCGGTGAAATAGCCTTCTTTTGAAGCAAAACTTTTCCAACATCAATCTAAAAGTATTTGGTTTTTAGTTTGACAGTTCTACAATTTGATCTGAAAGTTTAAACTTTTAAAATTATTAATATGCTAAACTTTTATTTTGACAGTTGGTTGACTTTCATTTTGAAAGTTAGCTACTTTCTACCAAAAAGAACCAATACAAACTTTTAATTCTATCAACGGTTCTTTTAATTTTATCAATTATTATTTTTTGTGTGTATGAATACGCAACACGTTTTCATCAGGAAAAAAAACTTTATAGCGGTAAATTTTCCTAACGAAAATAAATCACTGGCACAGTCACACCACAGACAAACAGACATAATACATTGAATATTTCTCACTGTAAAACATCGTCGCTAAAACATATCCGCCATCTGCTGAGTACACTGTGGTGGGTAGTACGCTGAACAGATGGCGGTAGTGTGAAAACGTAAAACGGAAGGGAATTGACCATGCGCGCCACAGGTGGCGGTACTACCAACTAAGATACTTTTAAATTGACCGATAAATGCTTGTTCGATGAACATCTTGCGAGTGTTATGTCTGTTTGTCTGTGGTCACACTTTAGTAATCTCTATATTGCTGGTGTTTCGGTAAACAGCTGTCACTTTTACGTCGGGTCATTTTGCTGGTCGTTCAGCAACAATATTTTGCTGGAAGAATTGCTGATTTTACAGCTCGGCAAGTAAATTATTATCTTTTTTTTTTTTGAAAAATAATGTATTCTTAAAAAACGGAAAAAAAACATAAGGGCGAAACCAAGGGTTGGTCACCCCGCACAGTGTGCCAAAAATAAGCTTGGGCACATCTGGGCATAGTTATTGGCACTGTTTGGCACCCATGGTTACAATTTTTTCTGGCAACGGTAAACATGTATCAAACTTGTTATTGATGTTGCCACAATAATCATTTTTTTTTCAAAACACAACCGTGAATCTCCACCAAGTCCCGCCATGGATTCTCTCAAATAGCATTGTCAGCGCACATCCTGATTATAGTCGCTATATTCGTAGTCTGGCGGATAGAATCTCGGGAACCAACTGTGCTGTCAAATAGCGGAACCAATCGAGCAAATCACGACCACCAACAGAAAACAGCACATCAGCTATTGCGAACAATACTTCGGAAACCTTTTTCTCGTGACTCACGGCTCGCCTACGCAAACTAACACCATCTTTGGGTTGGAGAAAGTTTCCCCTATCCGATGGTGCCGGTAATTTGCGTTCGATTGGCGAGGAAAAAATAATCAAGTTTTGTTTATAAAAGTTGATAGTACCTTTAATTGTTGGTCTATAATATATTGAATTGGTTCCGCTTTTTGATAGATCGACATTCTATCCGCCAGATTATAAATATAGCGACTATAGTCCTGATGCCTTTTCGAAGAACTAGGTACATAATTACACGCCGGACTGCGTACAATCATTCCGACCACTCAGCATGAAGAAATCATGGCAATCGCTGGCATAGCAATAGTTCACAATCCCAACATTACCGGCAAAAAACGCTCATCAAAGATAGTTTATCACCTCGGGCGAAACAGACAATGTCCAAAACATGCGGGCGAAACGGCTTCTGTGAATGCAGCCGGGTGTATATAAAAATTATTAAATTTTCATTTATGTCACAATAATGCTTCCCAATAATTCGATAATTAAAAATATTTCAGTTTTCAAATGGGTTCATATATATATATAGATTATTTTATAATGAATGATTCTGAACATTTCAAATTCATTTTTCTCAGCTCAAGCCCATTGCGACATTGGGCCGTATGCTAGGGGCGTCTCACTTTTAAAATGCTTATTGACGATGTATTTAAATTTAAAAAAAATGCATTTGATTTCCATCGTTTACATCAACCATTCAATGGGATGTGAACGTCAAAACAAAGCAAGATATGTAAACAAAACATGAAAAGAAAAATCGTTTATCCACACGATTTCGGTGGACTAGAGAATGTATATGCTGCGCTGCCAACGGAGCTTCGGCCAGTAAAGAGTGTGGATGCTACCAACGGGATTTTCTCATGTTCTCGGTGGAGGAGGTTCTGCATGCATTCTTTTGGAGACGGTTCTAGATGCTGCAAACGAAGCTTCTAGGAAAGTTTTTCTTGTTCGTCGTTTGACTAAATTACGTAATTTACGAATTACGTTTGACTAAATAAATAACAATTACAATTACATACAGTATGAGCAATTAAAAAAAATGCGAACATACAAAATTTCGATGGCATTCTCTTGCGTTCACGGCGGACGAGGTTCACCACGGTTTCGGTGGTGATTTCTGATGCTTCCAGCAGATATTCCAAATCATTTCAACGAAGTTTTCTCAGCGGAGTCATTTCCTCGTGTTTTCGGTGAAGGAGCTTCCACAAGATTCTGGTGGAGATTTGCTATGCTGCCAGCGAAGGTTCAACGGAATTTTGACGGGGTTTTCTCGCGTTCTCGGTGAACCGGGCTTAGCACGATTTCGAAGGAGGTTTTCGATGTTGACACTGGAAGTTGCGGAGGCAGCTTCTGCACGATTTCGTTTGAGATTTCCGTTGCTACCGGAGGAGGTTGCAGGGAGTTTCTAGTAAGTTTATGCGTGTTTATGGCCGAGAGAATACCATAGCATGATTTCGGTGGATATTTGGTATGTTACGGATGTTCCGGGGAGATTCGACAGTGTTTTCAAATGTGCACGTCGGATAGAGTTCCGGGCGATTTTGATGGAAATTTTCGCTGCTGCCAACGGAGGTTCCAGTGGGTTTCATCAGAGTTTATTGCGTCCGATGCTCCCATCGGTTACAGGTCGGTCGAGGAGCAACAGGAAAATTTTTCTCGAGTCAGGAGTGTGGATTTAGCCGGCGCCGGTGGTGTAGTGGTAAGCGTGACTGCTTTCTAACACCCCAATGGGTCTGGGTTCAATCATAGAGGTAACTCTAAGACTAGAAGGTCCCGAAATAACGTGCTCAACTTTTTGGCTCAGCTCCCCGCATAAGCGCGAACCATAAATTGACCTTACCTAAAATGGTTATAAATTGTTTATAATCCCTGCTAAACTTCAACTGAAATGGTTATGGAACTTTACATGAACGTTTAATGATAAAGTTTTAACCTTAAGTATTATAGTTTTTTGGAAGTGGACCTTACAAATAATGGGTTGTTAAGAACCATTACCATTCAAAATTCTTGTTTTCTCCATACATTTTCGCAAAGAAAACTATACTAAAACCTTTTAACTTATGGTTTGAGAACATTAATGGTAATGGTTATGGTAAC